AAAATAAAAAAATTTGTTTGTAAATTTTTTTTATAAAAAGGCTACTTTTAAATAATAGTAGCTAATAGCGATTTTAAAAGTAGCGTTTAACAACTCTGGATACTATGTAAGACTGGAGATCTTGCTAATAGATGGCAGAAAGATTTTGACCTCTATTTGCCAGATCTCGTGGTTTATATTATATTTTTTGGCTAATTCGTCCGTTTTTAATAATCAATCTAAATCGGGCTGTTTAACAACATCAAGAAAAACTCAGCTGGTTAGCAACTGGTTGATTTTTTTAAAAATTCAATTAAAACTAGAAATATTTGAAAGGTTAAGCTCCAATAGCAGGCTAATTATCTTAAATTAAATTTTTTTCTATTATTGATTGAAATCTAAAAAAAAAGTGTTGAATAAATTACAATATATCCATATCCGATCATTTAGAATACGAGTCTAATATATAGTATCATAAGATTTGGTTTCAAAAAAAGAGCTAATCAGAAAACATTAATACATCATCATTTTAACAGTAATTACAACTTACATTAATTTTCCAAAACTTTGACCTTAATAATAACTTCATTAGCAGTAGTTTTAGCAGCAATATTATTTTAATATCTTCCAAAATTTATCTTCATCAAAAACAGGAATTATTTATTTATCTAACATCATCATTTTAACACAGTAGTTTTAGCAGCAATATTATTCTTATATCTTCCAAAATTATATATTCTTTTTATCCTATGAAATATAACTTTATCAAAATCCTTACAGCTCTTAATGGCCTTAATACTAATAAGCAATTGAATTATACATCACTCAATTAAAAAAAAAACCCTTATAAACTAATTTGATAAATCTGATTAATAAACATTCAAATATTTAATATCTGAGTAAAATATAATTGTCCAATATTCAAAAACTCTGAAGTATCAAATCAGATTCATAAACCTAAACTTGGCAATAATAAGACTCTCAAATTATAATAAGGATCTATAAAATTATGACTTTAATGAAAAGGCTACATATAATAAGGCAAAATTCTGTTCCTGACTTTTTCATTTATATTCTTTAAAAGATATTTTCTGATACCCTTATCAATATTTTATAGTCTTCTGTAAATTTATAACTATTGATATCAAGATTATTATGACCTCAAGACAAATCAAATCTATAAATTAATTTCATATTGTAAAAGAATCAACTTTTGATCATCATGTTCACCAAGTAACAATAAATTTTAGAAATAGAAACAAAACAATCGATCAAATAATATCTGTAAAAAATCTTTCATCTGACGCCATATTGGAACTCTTAAAAACAAAAAATGCGGTGGAATCGATCAAGACCCAAATATAGCACCCTACAATTATTGTGACAAAAAACCCATATTTGAAGATAAAAATATCCAACATTTTCACTCTTAAACTGATAAAATTTTAATTCATGAGCTTACAAGACCTCAGCAAAGCTTCTACCAAATCTAACTGCCCTTTATGTAATAAACTCGTTAAAGTAACCAAATTGCGGCTATTGCCATCTCATAAAACCAGAGGATAAAATGTCCTCAATCTGGGCATCCCATCTTATCACCAGCTATCCCTCGAACCCTAAATGCCTTTTCTGCCCTTGCCCTCGCACAACCTATAGTTATCATTCCCACGTTGACTGATGTGCCTACTAGCCCAATAGTCCCCACCTCAACCGCCGAAAATGCTCACACTTTAAATCCAACCGACTCCACAGATGTAGAAATATTTTTAGTCACACCAAAACCATTTGTGATTTCTCGAATACCTAAGGGAGCAAGACTTCAAGTTGCCAGACACCTCTCAAAGAACTTGACTTCCTTGATAAATAATTATTCTTCCATAAAACACTGGCTAGACACCCTGTCATTTGCCTTTACTACCTTGCAAGTTCCTGATCCTGCCAGCAAAAAATCTCTGACACAGCAAATCAAGGATGCTACTATCTACCCCTTACCCATCAGTCACTTTTCCACATCTTTTAAAGGTGATGACACCGATAAAAATAAAAATCACAAAAATGACCTACTCACCAAGGCCAAGCTTATATCTAAAAAGCTGGATAACCTGAATGTTAAATCCGCCATACGACTGGCAACATCTGACAATAAGCTAGCTCCCTACGATCAAACAACTTATCAAGCTCTTCTCCTAAAACACCACCCACACGATCTTAAGGACGAAATACCGTCTTACCCCGAAGCTCCTCTAATTGCAACCACTTTTACCTCAAGCGAGGTTAGAAAGGCTATTCTCTCCTTCAAACGCGATTCTTCACCGGGGGTTGATGGGTTTCGCCCAATATTCCTACAGGATCTAACCGCACCTTACATCACACAACAATGCGACGTTTTGGAAAAAATTACTCAACTCATCAACCGTATGCTTGCTGGAGGCTTACCACCCGCCATTATTCCACTCCTTTATGGAGCTAAACTCATCGCCCTCCATAAACCTAATAAAGATATTCGCCCTATCGCTATTGGGACCACTTGGCGCCGATTAACCGCAAAGCTAGTAGTGAGCAGAATATTGTTCACAGTATCCAATCACCTGTGCCCTAATCAATTAGGAGTCAACGTAAAAGGGGGATGTGAGGTATCCCTACACATGACCAGAATGTATCTACAAACAGACCCCAGTGACGATATCCTAATTAAAATAGATTTTTCAAACGCTTTTAACTCTCTAAAACGTTCAGCGTTTCTTAATCCCATCCTTACCCTTTACCCAGAATACTCGCAATTCATCTTCGATTGTTATGCTAGTCCATCGCATCTTCAATTTGGAGATAGATTGATTCCTTCTACTAGTGGAATACAACAAGGTGACCCTCTAGGCTCCTTTTTATTCTGTCTGGGCATTAATAGCCTAATACAAGGCATAAATGACCAATGTAAACTAAACCTTCATAACTGGTATATCGACGATGGTATACTAGGCGGCTCACCCAGCGAAGTTATGAAGGCGGTCAAAATAATAAAATCCAGCGAGAGCAGTTTGGGACTGCGAATCAATCAAGACAAGAGCGAATATTATCCTCTTGGAATCATCGACCTTAACTATGATCCTTCGTTCAATCATACACCACTGAACTTCTTAACACATCTTGGATCTCCAGTGGGTAAAGACGAGTCCTTTGTCAAGTTCTTCGCCGACACTCTACTAGAGATATCCCTTATGCGCGGTACACTATCTCGCCTCCCAGCCCACCAAACGTTCTTTCTATTAAAGAACTACCTCCTAATCCCAAAAATTCTATATACACTCCGATCGTCACGTATCTTCCAATACGACGTCAACCTCGCTGCACACGAGCTAGAGATTAAACACCTCACAGAGGATATGCTCAATCTCAAATTCGGAGACCTATCTTGGCTACAAGCCACCTTGCCAACCAAATCCGGCGGCATTGGCATACGATCGCCTTCCCTACTCTCTGTTAGTGCGTTCATATCCTCTCGCCTGTCCTGCGAGCTCATCATACACACACTCACAAAACATCCTGACCCTTTACTTCCCCAGGCAATTGATCTATGGAAATCTCTTTCATTAGTCGATCCTCCCTCATCGGCACTGCAGAAGGACTGGGATAAGCCTCTAGTTGGCAACTCCGTTGCATACCTTAAATCGAGGAGCCAACCCGAGGACCATTCTCTACTCTTCTCCATTTCCGCAGACAGCGGGTATGAATTTCTCGAAGCTTTTCCATCGCGAAACCTTGACCAGCTCCTAAGCAATGGTGAGCTACGTCACGCCATCGGTCTAAGACTTAATTGTGATATGGTAATACCCTATCACTGCATCCTTTGTCATACGCCGGTCAACTCCAAAGGCCGTCACTCTTTACACTGCAAGCGCTGTAGAGGCAGATTCATTAGACATTCAAAATGCAAGGATACTATTGCCAGGGCCGTAAAATCTGCCGGTATCCCATAAACCCTCGAACCTACTGGACTCTACAATTCTGATGGTAAGCGTCCCGATGGCTCTACCATGATCCCTTGGAAGAGAGGGGAATTCCTAACCTGGGATTTCTCATGCATCGATCCCCTTGCCTCTTCCAATATAAATAGAGATGCTCTAGTAGACGCCGAGACGAATAAACTCGCTAAGTATTAGCCATCGCTTCCGGCCAATTACACATTCCTACCACTAATCGCCACGACTCTAACGTCTTTCGGCTCTCATGCCCTAGCCTTCTTTAAAGAGCTGGGGAAACGGATCTCTACTAGGACCGAAGATCCCAACGAGGGTTACTACCTACGCCAAAGATTAGCCCTCAATATAATAAAATCCAATTACCTCAGCTTCATATTCTCAATGACTGATACCCACTAATCACAGAATCGGCGATGAGAAGGGCAATTTTAATATAAGCCAAATGTCATGTTTGTAGGCGTGAGATGCGTTTAAATTTCTCCTGTGAAAAAGAAGATGGCACATTATATACATCAAGGAAGCTCCAAATTTGGTGATCGGAATTAGACTAGGAGATCAGCACCTTACTCTTAATCTAGAACAAGAAATGAAACCTAGAGATGTCAAAATAGTTTATGTTGGACCTTCAACTCCAAATATGATGCTATATAATATGCTATGCATGGAAAATAGATGTCACCGCCGCCGATATTAATCAGTAAATGATACTTCCCTTTCACAAACTCAAATATTTGGTTCCTGGTAAGAATTGTTGGGTTCAAAGCAAATTTCAAATTATACTTTCTCTTCTTTCCCTTATTAAAATATTATAAATAAATATGGTTTATTTAAAAAAAAAAACAGATACATTATATAGAATAAATAAAAGCTATTTTAAAATTAGAACACTAAAATTTATTTAGTCTAAAATATTTTAATCATTTAGACATCTAATTGTATTTAATTTATTTTTTATCATTTTGTAAACATGGATCACTTAATCCTTGTTACTAAACTTTTAATATGAAAAGTGACAGGTTGTCAATATTTTAATTTCAAAAGACTAATACATAAAACCATTCAAAAATGATCGATTCTCAAAAAAGAGAAATTTTTAATAATACTGTATATTTTTATATAGTTCATCACATATTTTTACTATATTATTATTTTACTTAGAAAATTTTATTCAGGAAACATGCAAAAAGAGAGAAGATTAGACAAACAGCAAAAATAATTCGAAAAATTAAATATTTAAAAATGTAAAGATAATTATTAAAATACTATGTCTTATTTTTAAACAGTCAGAATAATTTAGAAAATGATGAAATTGATTTATACCTTGAAAAATTAAAATCGATCAAGGTATATATTATAAAATCTTTCAATGTTTTAATATATGTTAGTCACTTAAGCCTGATATAATTTCAATTCATGCATTTAACATCCTAATAAATCCACCTACTAACTTTGTAAATGACAGAGTGAGATATAATTTTATGATTATACTTGCCATATTTGTATATTATATTAATGAACTTACATTTCTAAACATTAAAAAATTTATGGTCACTTTTATTTTAAATATTTATTTCTAAAACAATTACATATATTATTTTTATATATTTCTTAATAGCTAAATTCTATTGGTTCAGCTTTGAATCTCATTGTCCAAGGAAAACTTTTAAAAACAGCCATGCAAGATTTTTGTAGATTATATGCTAATGACTGGAAGGATATAATAGCAACATCTCTATCATCCCTATCCAGAAAGAAGATTACAAATATAAGATTAAGAATATCTACAAAGAATGATAAAATTATATCTAGTGATCATATTCAAAAAGAGAAAATCATTCAAAATCCTGAAAGTGGAAATTCTAATGGGATTATTAATAAAGGTAAGAGTTTTTAGAATGTTATGCACAAACCTGGTTGGATCAAAAGCAAAAATTTCTTAAATATTCAAAAATATATAAACAAAAAACAAAATTATATTAAAATATAAGCTAAAAAAGATAACACAAAATCAACTAAAACTAAATTTATATTTAGAATGGTTTTTTTGACTCTCAAATTTATATAACAATGTGCAAATTGGATCTAAAAAATTTCCATATTTATTAATTTATAAAATAAATTAACAGCCCAAATTTGATATTAAAAATTTATGAATAAAAATTGTATATTAACAAATTAGATATTTAGGTACTCTTTCTGGAATCCTTTTGGCCAGAATGAGAACAGAACAAAAAAGCAAAATGTCTTTATTTCATGTCCATCAAAAATGGCAATTACAGTATATCATATAACTATATTAAAAATATTTTAATTTATGCCGATCATTTAAAATAAATAAGATTTCAACAACTATTATGAACTGGGTAAAACCTGTTCAAAAATTTTTATATTCAATTTTCTTATTATTGTTCAAATTATAATAGTTCATTTTGGTTTCCAATTTGGTTCTACATCCTACTTAAAAAAATATAAATATAATCCTCTGTACTGCCCCCATCCATGGTGCCAGGTCTCAACCCCCCCCCCCCCTCCCACTGGATATGACTTAAAAAGGCAACAAAAATATAAATTATACTAAATTTTTATAAATATTTTTGGTATGAGCTGCAAAAAATTAAGCTTAAAATTTAAATAATTATTCTCTTTTTATTCTTAATAATCTAAATTGTTTTATTTATTTTTAAACTTTTTATTGAAGAAATAAAAGAAGTAGATGCCCATTTAAACATTTCCCAAATTTCTGACCAAAAAAATTGTTCCAAAAAATTGAAAACTTCTGAAGATATCAACATGATTTCCAATTTGCCTATTCCCAAACCATCTAAAATGATAGGTGAAATTTGTATAGGTAGTATGATCATCAAGCCTATAAATCAAGAATTATCGAAAGAAAATAGTATTGATGAATTAAATATAAAGGGGCCAATGGATGAAAAGTATTTAACCACAACTGATGAAATTCAAAATAAATCGTCGGATTTGTACAATGATCCATTTTTTGTTGAAAAAGTTAAAAAAGATTGTGCTCGTACAAGTTTCAATGGTGTAATATCTAACCAAAAAAATAAGGCGAAGAATATATCCTTTAATTCATCTTTCGTTGATTCTTTGTCGCAAAATAAAAAATTATTCTTAAAAGAAAAATGTATAACAAATATTAATAATAATCTTCGTAAAGGCCCGCAGTATAATAAAAATTTGAAAAAAAACCACATGTCACAAAATAAAAATATCGATAAATCTACGACAAATAAAAGGAATTGTCGCCAAAATACCGAATTAAACAAATCAAGTAAAGCATTAGTATGTTCAAATATCGATATACATCCTTCATGGGCCGCTAAAAAGGCTGCAAATAAAAAACAAGCTATTTTGTCTTCGGCGTTGAAAAATATAAGTCATACCTATCAAAACAGACATGTATTTGAAGAATCTGATTAACTTATTTTATCAAATTTTTAATTATTTATTCATAGGTAATAATTTCGTTTCTGTAAAATGTGTTAGAATGGATTTTTTTAAAAAAAATTATATTTTATGTTCAATTTAAAATATTTTTTTGGATAAAATAATAGATATATGAAGTGTTTAGCTCAACTTTTTATTTTAAAAATTTCCATAATCAAAATTGGAATAATTTTGCTCAGATTTATAATTCATAAAGTGATAATTAGGGGTGCAACCAAATAGAATTTTTTAAGAAAGGATTTGATTGACCTATCCCTTTATAAAACTGATCTACAAATATTTAGTATGTTTTTTTAAACATAAATTAAATTTTTTTTAAAAACAATATAGTTGGCAAGGCAGCCACTTTATTCCCTCCCCACATCAGCAGCTAAATAATGGAGACCAAAATTATAACCTTATACTCCCTTACTTTCATTTGCCCCTTACCGTCCTCTCATTTTTAATTAATGACGTCAACGGCTCTATAACTTCCTTTAATTTAATGGTAATCTTGTGTCCACCTTCTCAGTGTACATTGTGCCTGGCCATAAGTAATGTTAATAAGGTTACTCGTAACCAAGTTTTTTTTATATATAATCCTATTAATAAAAAATAAAACATAAATTTTAAGTAAACCAGTGATCTGCATTAGGCCTAATTTTTCAAGCTCGGCCCGAAATTTTTTTTATAAAGTTTTGCCTGGCCCTGCCAGAACCCGATTTTTTAAAAAAAAATTTGCCGGTCCTGCCAGAATTTATTTAAATATAGAATTCAATTTTTATAATTACTCAAAATAAACGATATATATTATTTGGCGTCTACTTTCTATAAATAAAATCACATATTTTTTTTTTACATAACAACGTAAAATTGATAAATTTAGATATATTTTAAAAAATTTCTAAGGCCACTCGAATTTTCTTAAAAAATATTACCATCAGATGCTTTAAGGATAACTCCAATGATTCATTAGCACTTTCGAATGCAGAAACCTTTATTTAAAATCTTGCTGGCTACCTCTCTGCTCGTCCTATTTCTGATCTTCCAGACTTCCGAAATTAAGTTTTTACGCTATCAAAGTGATTAATTAAGATTTCTTAGGGAGATCTTGATGGTTTCTATCTATATGCAAAATCTCCTAAACCAATTAATCTCTGCAAGTAGTACTCTATTGGCCAATCTCTAATCCATCCTTAATAAAATATGAAGGAGTTGAATATCTCCAGAGGTTATCGCTATTTTATTCGAAGCCAGCTTGATTACCCTACAAAATGTTCGTGGATTACGTTTGATTGTAATAGGTTCTCTTCGCTGAATATTTTCCGTAATAAAAAGCTGTCAAAACCCAATCAACTCATCTTCGGTATCAAAGGCAACTGCCAAATGTCCTCTAACATAAAACGCATTTTTCTAGGATATTCCCGAGACATTTATATTATAAAAATAATTTAAAATGCTTTTAATTCTCTGTGGAAATCTTTTTGTCCCTTCCTCAAAATTTTCTGTATAGACCAACTCATATTAATATCTATACACAAATCTTTCCACAAATAAAACCAAGATCATATTAGATCTAAACACGGGATCCGTAAAATCGACACCTTATGACTGCTCTCTTTTGCAAGGTATCAACAAAATCATCGAAAGCATAAAGGAAAAGCTCCTCAATATCTGGTACTTACATAACGCATTGGCGTCATGGGGGGGGGGGGTGTAGCACGCAGGGGATCGAGTCACATGAAAATTTTGAATAGCCTTTTGAAGCAAATTTTTTTTTCATGGCTTCCTAATATCCCTCTGAACTAAAACTAAATTTTTGATAGCCCCCTGACGATTTCTTTTAGCTATAATTATATTAAATATTATATAGATTTGATTATAATATTTATCAATAAGACTTATCTTAATTTTATTTAAATGATTGCTATTTTAATTATTAGAATATTAGTACATACAAACTATATTTTCACTATGTTAAAAATGAATATCAGTCATAATATCTAAATATCAATTTAGTATTTAACAGCTGAAGCATATTATTTAAAATTTTTTATAACCCTAATTAAATAATAAAATCATTTATTAAATGAAAATTAAAAAATTTAATAATGTTTTTAGTCGAGTTCAAAATAACTAAACCATTTTAAATTAAATTACCATGCCTCTTCCTAAGAATATTTCCAAGTGCAAATAAGTATATAAAATTTCTTTATAAAAGACATATATTTAATAATCCTCTATTATATGGAATTGGTTACAAAATATTAGGTATGCCACTTTTACAGACATATTTGACAGTTGTAGAATATATTAAAAAATATTTTAATATACTTTACTAATCAATGCTATTAATAATATAAGTAACAATTGCATTTAATTAACGCTCTCTATTTATTTTTAATAAAAAAATATAATTAAAAATATATATTTTATTATTCATCCCTCAATGACTGTAATCCTAATTAGATATATTTTTTTCCTTCTATTTTTATGTGTTTTAGGAAAACTATTTATTTTTCTTTGAAAAACCGTATTGAGTTAAATTTTTAATATGAGTATATTTTTGATATTATTACAAACTACTATTATTTTATGACATAACTAGAGGTGTTGATAATATATTAAATCTTAAGCTATCATCATATAACTCAAGTCCTTATTTTCTATTTATTAAATGATTCATTTCTAATATGGATTCCTTACCGTGTAAATAACTCAAGACTTTAATATATTTGCATAATGATTTCTTCTAAAAAATTTTAGTCTCTTTGTTTGATCAATTTATTTAACATACTAAACACTACATCGCGAGTGTAATGGCTATTACTGCAAATTAACTAGCATCTATTATTTGAAAGACTATGTAATTTAAGTTTATTATTCCTGCTGCTTAGATCATTTGATTTCATAATTTAAATGTGCAATAATTATCAACTGTCTAATCATTTACACATATGTGAAAATGGAAGATAATCTTTTAGAAATTTAATATCTCACAATAATTATCTCGATTACTTAACTAGCTTCCTTAATGTTATTTGAGGAAGCTATAACCTCCATATAGTTTTATGATTTAGATTAGTCGTTTATATGCTCATCTCCAAGAATTATTCTTATTAGTCCTATCCTTTCTATTAAAGATTTTCTAAAATGGTAATACAATGCTATATTAGTTTTAAGCCAGGAATTATATTGCCTGGTGTTTTTTTAAAAACATTATCAATGAGTCAGTGGATGAATTAATTAACTTTTTTTGATCACTTGTAATCTTTAGACTCAGCAATATACTATTTAATATTGTAATAAATGGTAAATAGTTTGTATTTAATTATATTATTATAGAAATGTCTTGTATTGTTTTACTTTCATTATTTGTATGCACAATAAATGGCAATAAAAATCAGATTCAGAGTTTGCAAATTTAAATTTAAATGGTATAATGTATTCATATATAACCTTGAAAAGTTGGACAAATCGGACCTAAGGTCAACAAAATAATTTTTAGTTGAACCTTCTGAGATTGTAAAGGCTAGTGACGCCCCTGTTATCCCATACTATTCTTTTTATTAAGATATGTTTGAATCATTTTAATTACTTTTTTAGCCTCTTTTTTAGAAGTTGTTAAGTCATCCTTTTTTGGAAAAAAAATTTTTTTATACAATATATTTTTTTTATTACATAGAATGCTTAGTCATATATTTATCCTTATGTAAATATGTATATAAATTGAACTCTTTTATAAAATTTAACTAATTATGTATTTATAGACTAAACGTTATTACTGTTTTAAGATTTTCTCACAAATTTAAATAACGATTAATAATAACTATTTAATTATTGCTAACTAATATTTTTTATTATTCTTTCTTCGTATAAATTATGATGCCTTGAAGTAATTATTATTGCGATATTATAAATGGTTGCCCTTTGTAAAAAAAATTCAGGATATAGTTAGATTTTGTGGAGGGGAGAGGTTATGATTTCAACTAACTTTCTGTCATGTAGATGCTGGAGACTTGATTATTTTGATGTAAACTGTCAAGTGATTGAATGAGTGCCATATGACAAGTCTGTTATCATATTTTATAGTAGTATTCATCTTCAATTTTAAAAATGGGCGATCGCTATAATATTTTAAGTCAATTGGAACATCTGCAATCAAAATACGTTGGGACTGGACATGCCGATACTACAAAATGGGAATGGGTTACAAATCAACATAGAGATTCAATAGCATCATATTTAGGACATTACGATTTGACTAATTTTATAACAATCACTCAAAATGAATGTAAAGCTCGGGTCAAGCATAATTTAATGGAGAAAATGCTTCAGCCATGCGGACCACCTCCAATAATACCTAAATTTGACGAATAAACATCTATAATTTATTGTGTAATCGAATTTTTATATGGTTTATTATTCTTTAAGTTGATTAGCAAAATAATTTTGTACATACTTTTTAATATAATTTATTATATATATACTTAAAAAATATGTCAATTGTAGATATAAACAATTAAAATTAAATATTTATGCATAATGTTTAATATTTTATTGGAAACCCCATTGTATCACAGATAGTTGTCCCTTTGGGAAATATCTTATTATTAATAGTTTATTGTTTTTTTACAATACTTAATAAAATTTTGTTTCCTCTAATTTATTCACATAAAGTTATATTGCTTGATATCAAGATTTTCTTATCTGATGAAAATACTTCGGTGCCCACATCCCCATAACTTTTGTTTTAAAGCTTTAGGTGCTTTTATCATTACATTTTTCAGTTATTAATTTTTTCTTAAAAGAATTAAATTTAGATATTCATATTTATTTTTTTCTTATAAAGGGAAGGAGACATACCAGATTGGGCCACATTTTAATTTTTTAAATATACTTGGGCCAGGTCTATAAAAATTTTATTTTAAAATACCTGGGCTGCCTAAAAATCTTTTTTGAAACAAATATCCAGGCCATATATTTTAAAACTAAATATCCTAAATCATCATTATTAATTATAAAAATTAAAAATAATATATATTTTTTTAAATCTGGTCTAGGCCTTGTAATAATTTTACTAATTTACACGATACTCCTTGAAATGTATTATTTATACAATACAGCACTTGAAATGTTCAATTTATGTGCATTATATAGAGATATAGGTAGAGGGGGTAAAGATAACCTGTTTTTTAAAAAATATTTACAGATAATAAAAATACATATTTTTGTTGTTTTTTATATCATGCTTGCTATTTTAAGTGGCTTCTATTCAAACATCTTTATTATCTATCTCATGAGAATGTTACAACTTATGTAAATTTCAATTTGTCCATTTATAATCACATGACCTTATAGGGCTGATTTATCACTTTAAAAAAATAATCAGAGACCTGCAGAGGTAGCATTGGCATGGCCTGGCCCAGATCCTTTTTTAAAAAATGTTTTAGTTTCAGTCTTATATTTTCAGACCTGGCATGACCTGAATATTAAGGTCTTGGATTTTTTAAAATATATTATATTCATTGTTTTTATCTTTATGGCGGTTTAAAATATTTGATCAAGCCTGAGTATTTTTAAATAATTAGAATATGGCTTGATCCGTGTACTTGGTCTGCAGGTTTAACTTAAACATTCTGCATCAACTTGAAGAACAAAAAAACAATTATATATTCGCTTTTTGAAATCAGTGAGGTTTTTTGGTGGATTTATTTAGTTTAAAAAAATTTTAGAAGAATTTTCTCGGTGTATTACTAATTTTTCACTTTTTTTAAAAAAAACTTACATTTTTCGAATCATCAAGATGCCAATAGTGATGTCACCATCCTTTAATAATGAAAGGCAGAAAGAAAAAGGTGATTAGTAATCAAATTCTGTATTTTTAAAATGAAATATCATTCATGTTCGGGTGGATATTGAATTTATTTTTAACTGATAAATATTTTCCAAAAATGTTTAATATTATTAAATATCAATCTTTCAGTTCATTAAGTGTGTTCTATTGTACTTTTTTAAATGCTAGAATTTAGTCTTTCTACATTTTTTTAAGAAAATTATATTATAAAAAATAAAAACATGAAAATTATTAATAAAATAACATATAAAACTTAAAAATCTATACAAAAAAAAATTTAAAACTGCATAGAACCATGGATTGATAATAAAATTTGATCTGAAAATTTCCAAAATATTCTGGCAGATTAAGAATTCTTTAGGATTGCCAGATAGCTGAAAGCTTTTCTCTTAAATATTGAAAAAAAAGTGAGCGTCATGTCTCTAAGAACACCAATTGTTTTGTTCTTATCATTGATAAATTATCTTTTAAGAGGTATAATATTCTGTTATTTTTTAAAATATTTTTCAAGACCAAGCCAATATTTAAATTTTTTAGGCATAAGACCAGCCAGAGATAATTAAAAATTTTAGGCCAATTTGCATGGCTTTAAATCAAACATCTTTTGCCCAAATGTATCTTACCTTTTTAGGCCATGTATCTGTTTAAATAGCAAAATCATCAAAAAATAATTGTTAAAAATATTAAAATTAAATATCAATAATTTATATAGAGGGAATTTCTATTCAATCCTTTGCAAGCATTTTCTTTTTCACAAATTTTACAATTTTGGCACCTGATGCAAAAATCTTGAAATTACTAAAAAAAATTGTGCCCATGCTGCTATTCTGAATAGAAATAAGAAAAAAAATCAAGTCAAGATAGGATATAGCCTGAGGGTTTAAATTTTTATTCTGGACAAAATAATATAGGCAATATAAAAATAGCCCCTTACACTTCCTGACACTATTATCTTAAAGAAATATATAAAATATGTATGCCATATTTTTTTTATTCACTCATTGTTCTAAAACTCAATTTTTTCCAAGAAAAATAAACTTATTTTTTAAAGTTGAATATTTAGAAATTAATGATATAAAAAGTAAGACAATAATATAATTTACAAAAACCAATATTTTAACAGTTAAAATTTTAAATTGATGATAATAGTAATAAAAAGGCAACTTCAATTTAAACAATGGGTGCACTATTTTTTTAAGAGTATGACAAAACCCAGACTCTCAATTAAGTGTTTTGCATTGATAAAGAAACTGTAAAAATTAGATTGTCATAAAAATATCTTGCCACAATTTATTAAATATTTTTCTCATTTTGAAAATTTAGATTTAAACAAATAGGAAATAATCTTTTGTTAAAATATTTTGTATTTTACTCTAATAATTCAATCCATTAAAAAATTATTAAAGATACATAAACAAAAAATGAATGCAAATAATTTAAAATTAGCTACAAATCATTTCAAATATTGCAATTGATAATTAAAAATTATTTTAGATGCATAAACAAAAAATGAATGCAAATAATTTAAAAATTAACTAAAAATCATTTCAAATATTGCAATTGATTTTTTAAACACTATTTTAATGAACAAGATGTTGAATTTTCTTAGTGAGATCTATTATTGCACCATATAAATTTTTAATTGTTTGCTTGGTTTCTTGATTATCTATTAAAATCTGTAAAATACTGGTTAAAATAAATTAAAACCTTTTTCCAACATTTCTATACGCTCGATTAGAACATTATCTGTTCTACTGTTTATAAATTTAGGACCCTATATTAAACATATTTATTGTTAAAAAGAAATATAGTAAAACTTCTTTTAATGTTTTTTCAACTAAATTTAGGCAATCATCTATTTCCTTTGATAAAGCCTTTATCAAGTATATTTTATACAAATTAAAATGATTGTAAGAACTTTTTCTTTGTTTTTGAGATTATTTATTTTTGATAGAGGAGAAAGTGATCTATCTTTTGATGATATTTGGCTCTGAGTCTCATATTTCTCCTTAGGAATTTCAAATTTTGAATGGTTTTCTTCAATTTTGGATTTAAGTTTTGGAGAGGAAGACGGCTTCTCTGTAGATCGTATTTTGTGAGATAGATTTTTCTTCGCTTGCTCTTCATAAAATTTAGATTCTAAGATATTAATTTTAGAATAGTTCCACCAAATAAACTCGTCATAATCTGGATTATACTTTGGCAACATTTTTTAAATAACTTGACAGTTATGCAAAGTTTCGAATTTTTTTTTTTTAAGTAATTGTACTTTTTTAAAAAGATTCATATAAAAGAGTTGATTTGAATCTTAGCATCAAAAATATATTTTATTTATTAATTATACATTTTTCTTAATTTAATTTAAAAAGTATTTTTAGCACATCATGTTAATGTCACCTTAGAGAGATTTCAAAAAATAAATTCTTGATAACGCCTCTTTTTGTTAAATAATGAAATTTTGGGCAAAAAATAAATCTGTTCCCTTATTACCTTTCAATCGAATTAAAACGATTATTAAAAGCTCACCAGATATTGAAAAATTAAATAATATTAGTGAAGATTCGCTATTTACCATATCTAAAGCTACAGTAATTTTATAAAATTTAATATACAAAAATTTACTTTTTTTCAAAAAAATTATATAATTGACTTATTAGTTATATAACCATTTAATTTTTAGGAGCTTTTTATTGAATACCTTGCCACATCTTGTCATAAAAATGCATTATACATTAACGATATATCCTACAAAAATCTTGCAAACATTGTAAACTCAAATGAATCATTAGAATTTTTGCAAGGTATATAATTATATATTGCTATAATTAAAAAATATATTTAGATATAATTCCTCATAAAATGTTAGTCAAAGATTGTTTACCTAATATACATAATGACAATGAATGAATAAATTGCTCAAATTTTTATAATTTTGTGAATAAATTTGAATGATTTATCTTAAATGTCCTGTCCTACCTATTTTATATGATATATATAAAATTAAATATTATTAATATAGGTTTTTGGGGCTTGATATTATTCGTTATTAAATTTTATATATATTTTGTATACCAGTAAAAAATTATGTTTTTTTGTTCATTACTAAACTTAATAGTATAATTTTTAAGATCAGCATTGACATTTTTTCTATCTTTAAGCTTAGCCTTGATTTAAATATTTTTTAGCTCATTCTCATTTTTTTACATGGATTTTTAAAATTGATCAGGTCATTCCATTCTAAATTGGAATAAAATGAGCTATTTTCCATAACTTTTTTAAATCAAAATTTTCATGATATCTATGTAATTTTCCTGCAGGCCATATATTTTGGAAATTGGAGGGAGAGACTTTATACAAGATAAGAGTAAAAAGTTTGAGGTGGGTGGGATTGAATATATCTTGGTTGGTTTCAATAGCTTAAATATAAAATATCACCCTTGCTAAATAAAAGTTAAAAAACATGTGGTCAGGGCCAAAAAGGACTCTAACTGAGATCCGAGGAAACTAAAATAATTTCTTTGAAACAAAGATGTTGATTGTAACATTTTAAAAGAGGATCCATGATCAGCATTAATTTGAATTTTTTTTAACTAAAATCTTAAAAAAAATGATAGTATAGGGACCAGTTGGCAGAAATATCCATTGGGAGTGAAAATCAGAATAGTTGTGCTAATAATTTGGATCAACGTTTGGGTTTTAGGAAATTGGAGGATACAAGTGAAATCCCAAATAATGCATTCTCCTCTAAACCAAGGATTATTTTTGAGCCCATCTTGTCTTTTTCCATCAGACAGGGATAACTGGACGGGTTCCAGAAAGTTAAGATAATTGGCCAGCTCTAATTTGCTCGAGACAATAGAATTAATAGTTCTATGGCGACTGAACTAACCTTTAGAATATAAACAGATTAGACATGTCGACCCTTAGGATCAGAGTCCTCACGGCATCTTTTATGGGGTAGACATAAGTCACAACCAAGTCTATACCCTATGCTCACCCTCAGTTCCTCATTGGATAGCAGAGACCAAGAAAGGCATTAGGGAAAACTACAAGCCTTTCATGGCAAGAGTTTTGTCCAAATTATCTGATTAGAGTGTCTTCAAGGGAGGATCACCAATTTCTTGAAATTAGCCAGATGGGTGTTAAGAAGGTTTCTGTGCCGAGGGAGAGACAAGGCATGAATTTTTCTTTCATAAGCATAGGCAGTTTCAAATAGACTATCTCCTCTCCACGCAAGCCTATTTTTAACATCCTCGCATTAAAAACCCAGAAGAAAGAAAAATTTATAAAGCATCTAAATTAAGAGGGAGAAACCCCAAAATCCCTTCCTTGGTCGAAAGCTGTACAATGATCCAATTAAACTCAGAAAAATGAAAGTTTATGATAACCTCGAATAAGTTTTTAATCTTCATGTCTAGGGCTGAAAAAAAGTTTAAAAATTAAGATGAGGACCTAAATATATGTAAAATTTTGGGAACCATAGCGATTTCCATATTAAATATAAAGATTGATGGGCGGGAATATTTCACAATATTGCTTCCAATTTGGGTAAACAAAATGTTGCTTTCTCTAGGCTTGCTATTATGGAGACAGCACGATTGAATGGGGATCTAAATGGGAGATTGACTCCCAGTTAATAACCTTAAAGGAATTTAATAAAACAAATGATGGGGATCATTTTAAAAACGAATTCCTGTTATCCATTTTTAAAACAAGACCTAAGTTTTAGATTCATTTATTAAGATATTAATGGCCTCCAACATATTAGCCTCTAAACCAGATAGGGTTCTGCCGTCCAGGTCAAAGGTTAAGGTCAAAATCGAATTTGAACTTCATATTAGAAAAGATGTCATGAATACCTAAGCATAAGAGGAGAGGACCTAAAGGATCCCCTTGTTGAATACCATCCTCAGAATTCAAAACAATATCTTCCAAAACTAAAAAAGAATTCTGACCTAATAGGAATTTATATGATTTTAAAGGAGAAGGTAGGTCTATACAAAGCATTAAAATTATTTTTACAATCAACTTTACACAAAAGTGAAAAAGAAGGAGGATTCACAGTCTCGCTACCCCTTTGACACCAAAGCCAAATTAATAATCGTCAAGGTAATCTATACCTTGAATCTTAATACGGTTCATTATTAACTTGGCAGTTATGTACGGAAAAAGAACCCAACTGCTATGGGCCTTTTAGCCTTATCAGGCTTCAATAAAGCAATGAGACGGCCTCCAAAATGAGGAGCTATATAACTTGCAGGGTTTTTGATGAAGAGACCAAAATTAGGATTAAAGGGATGTGTTAAAAAATAGCAAAGTCGAGTGCCATATAGGCCCTTGGCGGAACTACTATTAAAAGATTTAATTCATGACTTTTTTGCTAAAATAAAAGGGATAAGTATAAGTAGAGACATGGAGATAAACTGTGTTTCTCGTACATATCAGCAAGGGTTTTATCATTAGAATGGACCATTTTATTAGATAATATGGCTAAATTAAGTGCCTCTGTAATATTCCTTGGGTTTATCTTTCTAGAGATAAGTTTGCATTACAAAGTACGAACAACAAAAGAGAAGGAATCAAAATTTTATACTTGGGTAAAAACAAGAATATCAAAGTTTATGATCCTAATCTTAATGCATTCAATTTAAGAGAAATATTTATCAGCCTTAATGAACACTTTTTAAAGAAAAGTAAGGAAGTTCTTCCAAGCAAGGAAGGAGTTAAAATTTTTATTTAAAAAACCTATTATCTCAGATAACTTGCCGTTAATCCGATTTTTCACATTTTTAGGTATATTAAAAAAGATAAGTTTTTTTATTAATAATAAGTCATTCCAATTAGAAATATCCCTATATAAAATATTATTATTCGACTGTTGAATGGGTAAAGGTGTAGAGATATTTTCTTTATAAAATATATTGTTTGCCCTGAAAATGGGCAGTAAACTTTCTTTTAACAATAATAAATCAAATATGGATAATTTAAAAAATAATACAAATATTTAATTTAAATAAATGTTAATATCTTTTTATACAATATTGCACCGGAAGGAATTTGGAAAAGGGACCTAATGATAGTTTATCCCAATGTGTCTATTATAAAACATTTTAATAATTTGATTCATTATGTTCAGTATCTAATCTAATGTTATTAAAGAAAGTGAGTTTGTGCAAATGGCTGGCATATTAAAATTAAGAGTAGATTTTATAGGTATTTTCATCATGAAAGATATAATATTGATTTTTTGTTAGATGCAAACTTTAGCCAAGCGAATATACGTGAGGGGTTGGGGATCAAGCCAAATGGTCCAGAGGTTAGATAAAATATTTTTCAAAATTACTATATTTTTGCCATTATTTCCCACCAAATCATTTGAAACTTTTTTCCTGCAAAACTAAGGTAAAATATTTCTAAAAATGAGATCGATTTGATTGAGTGAGACTATGAAAATAGCTTGAAAGTATTATATTGAAACTTATGAAAATTTGAGCAAATGTAAATGATGTATTACATAAATTATATGTAATTCTTGTGTCAAGAGAAGAGCTCGTTGAAACCCCCAACTGGAGGACTAGCTTTTATTTATTGGCTGAAAAAACTGATGGATGAACTAGTGAATCTTATTAATGTATCACATATTGTTCATTGCTGCCATAATTTACATTCTGGTATACAGGCGCGTACGCAGGAATTAGGTCTGGGGGGGGGGATAATAAATTTTTTTGAGAAATATTATTGTTTTTTAAAAATATCAAGCATAAATTTATTTGGACTAATAACTATTCCTAATACACAATTTTAAATTAATGTGAATTATAAAAAAATTATATGTAAAGAATCACATAAATGACCCAAAATAGAAATTTGAATTTTTTGAGCTTTAAAATTTATATATAAATATAAAGTATAAAAAATTTAAATGTTAGAAATATGAATTAATACACAAAAAGCTTAGGGAATAATTGTATTTTGTATGTTATATATTTACAATGTAAAATCCAATCTTCGTTGGGATTGAGCTATTTTTTCAATTATCTCATCCTTGCTTGTTGTCAAATGCCTTGGAATTTTCAAAAGATCCAAACCTTTCAATCTACTTTCAAAAGTTGTACTTCTTGGTATGTTTTTCAGATACCTGCAGGCCCGGCCCCCTGGCCGGACCGTATTGCCGGGCCCGATTTTTTTAAAAAAAAACACCAGGGCTGAGCCTGAATTTAAAAAAAAACATCCAGGCCGGACTGTATATTTTAAAACAGCCTATATTTGAAATCGTTATTATTAGCTATAAAAATCAAAAATAAATATAATTTATTTTTAAAAAATCCAGGTCAGGCCTGAAAATTTTATTTTAAAAAAGGCCGGGCCGGGCCTGGAAATTGAGCTTAGCCGTAAAAATCTTTAGAAAAATCCTGGTCTTGCCCTGCAAATGGTACCTCTGCAGGGCTCTGTTATTCTTCTTAAAAAAAAGAATGTTCTCTCATTAGTTTACTATTGGGAAGAGTTGCTAATATATATAAACCCTTTTAATACATTGGGAATATAATTCTAAAATGTGTTTGAAATAATGCAGAGCATCCATAGCATTTTTTAGGACTGTATCAATCATAGTTAATCTTATAAACATAGTTATTCAGCTAATAAGGCATCATAAGATACTTTAACATCTTCATGATAAAAATCCAACAAATATTTTTTTTTCTATCACCATCTGAAAAAGGTTGGGAAGGCTTTTAGGGAAATAATATTTGCAGATTGGTAAGTGCTGCATAATGAATTAAAAACCATTCATTTATTTGGTTTATAAATATATTTGTATCTAAGATATACTATTCTACTGATCCTATGTTAATGTTTTAACTATGAGCTTGCCTTGCTGCAAGTCGAGTGAGACAAATATTAAACACTTATAGCTCTGCTTTTGACTTAACAATAACATATAAAATATGAAATTCTTCATAAACATTAGCCCTAATTTCCTTGAATTCTAATAAAATGCTCTCCGCTATTCTCATCTTCTTAATCAAGTCATCATGTTTTTGAAAAGTTATACATTCTAATGGGGAAAAAAATTTGGAATAAGCATTGAATCCAATAATTTTCTTGCTTCTAAGGAAAAATTTCTTTCAGGCCATTGTGATGTCAGTAATAGCAAATAATAAGCTCTTCTAACTCCATAAAAGCTGTTACTGCTTGATGGCGGAGACTTCTATCTCGTTAGGACAAGGTTGCAATTTCTTTCTCCCTGTTAGACAATTTCAGAATAATTATTATTTGGCTAGAAATTTAAAAATGGTAGATTAATATAACGCCACTAAAATTTGAAAATACTAAGATAATATTACGCCGGAGAACTTGAAATCGAAATTAATTGATAAACTTAGTCATGAATGTGATAATAAATTTAATATGAGATAGGAATAAATATTAACAAATAAAAATTAATATAGTACTGTGTAAATTTAATTCAAAACATTTCCATATTTATTAATTTATTTGAAAATAAAATTATTTGACTTGTAAAAAGTTGTTAAAATAACATATTTATATATTCTTATCAATTTTTACAAGTTAAAATTTTTATTTACAAACGAATTAAAAAATATGGAAATGTTTTGAAATTAAATCTGCACAACACTCTAAACAAAAATATTTTTGAAAAATATATCCGGCATCTGCATTTTTTGGCTTTGGGGGGGGGGGGTGATTTGTCCCCCTGACCCCCTATCACTGCGTACGCCAATGCTAGTATAACATGATGCCAATATTGGCGATTTTTTACTTGCGAAAAATGTTATTCTTTATCGACAAAAGGATTGAAAGCACTTAAGAAGTATGAAATGCATACTAATTATTGACATAGTTTTTGGTTCATAATTCGGTTACTTTTTTAATGGCTGGGGAAATTGAAGATAAATTAATAACACTAATTAACGCCAAATCTTAGTTTGAACTTCTATATTTTGGGATGATGTTAATTTTGAAATTTATATTTTACCAATAATTAATTTTCCTTTTTAAAACAACTCCTAATGGTTCATAAGTTTTAGAACTAGTGTTTCCAAAAGCTTGGTTCACTTTACGCTTATAAAATAACGTCATAGTTTTTATTTTGTTTATAAGTCAATTTCTTTTTTGTGGTTTTCATATTTAAATTGAAAGTACTAGTCAGGCATTAAATACTAGCGAACGCCGAGATATGTAGTTTTTTTTTTATATTTTCCATTTTAGCAAATAAATATTTTTTAAACCTACCTACCTTATTGGAAAATTCTGGCTATTATACTGACCGGACCATTGGCTTTCACTACAAACATGAGTACCTCACACAAAAATTCTTAAATATCTAGTTTTAAGAAAATTATTTAGAATATAATATAAATCGGCGATTAACATGTTAAGATTTTTTACTTATTAAATATTAGCAGATAAATTTTTTATGTATCAGAAAAGATGCAACAGTATTGACCGATATTTTTTATCAACCGATAGATATTGTTAAATGGCTCAATTTTGCCGATATTTAATAACGACTAGATTTTAACCAAAATAATATTATCTAAGCCTCGAGATTTCGTTAATAGATATGTGCAGGTGTTCCTGCCACATAAGAGTAAAATTTTCAGAACCTTAGGTTAGCCATTCTTAAATTTTTTTGGCTAAATCTAACAGTTTAGCTGATATCTAATTATAAATGATAATTAAATTAGTCCTCATAAGTTAAAAAAAATTTTTTTTTAGCCAACATTTTAACTATGAATTTATATTTAAAATAATTACATACAAATTATTCTAAATAGATAGAAAAGATGCTATCATAATCGGTTAAAAGAGTGGCGCTAATCTTGATGTATCTTTGGGTTAGGGAAATAAAAATATAATATCTAGCCTGACGATTCATTCTTAATAATGCATCATAAAGCTTGAATGTAAATCAGCTGGAGATCACGTGGCGCGTCATTTTTAATAACTTATTTGAATTCGGTATGCTAAAATACATTACCTCACCTACATTAAAAATTTACAATTTTTATACATATATGCCATGCATAACATCATATGGCGTTCACAAGCTATTTTTCATTGGTGCACAATGTTTAACTAATGTTTCGTTAGTGTGGGTATTATTATAATACCATTAGGCAAAACCCTAATTTTTATCTTATCACCTCCTTATTGCAAAAAATTTTTAGTATTTATTGCTTTTACTTTTTATTCTATAAACTAAAAATTCTCTAGCTTATTTAATATTGATAATTTACACGATTTTTATTGACAAAATAATAGAATCAACATATAATCTAGAAATAAATATATCAATCCATCTAGATAAATCGTGTTAAACAAAAGAAAGAAAATTCTCTGATCCTCCTTTATTTATTTTTTCCAATCTTTTTGCATCATTTTCCAAAGGTTTTACCTTATATTAATTATATTATGTTTTAATTTTTTTTTATAAGCGGCGTTTCAATTGGTCTAATAGGAAATTTTCGTGAGTAACATTACAAGGATCGCACAAATAAGAAGGGATAAATTCGGGTTTGAGGCATTTGACGCTGCACTTCACCAAGGCATCTAAATCAAACTAAGCGAGAAATAGAAAAAAAAGATTATATAGCATCTTGTATCGTAAAGTATCATTTTAAACTTGAAAAGTATCGTAAGAAAGAAGGATACCCTTGCTAATAAATTTCTAAAAATATAAATAGTTGTTTATTTACATATTGTTGAGTGCCCATCTTATTTACGTCTACAAAAGCATGTGTCACGGAATTGGCGGCGAGAAAACGAGCGAAATCTGTTTTGGGATTGGAGTTGATTTTGGAATATTTTAGGACTCGAGCCGAACCCGCTTCGAGTAACCTTTCTATGTTAGTTAAGTGATTAGGTGCTATGTACAGTAAAACGACCCACGAGGAAAAGGCTCCACTAGGTAGCTTTGTTCTTTCTTCTTCCTGTATAATATTAGTTAGCATTTTAAAATTAATCCTAATTTATAAACATTAATCTCCAAAAAATAAAAATAATATTTTTCTTTAAAAACTAGCTCTTTTCCTTATCTAGATTATACGAGAGAGGGGAAAAAAAATTAGGAAAATGAAAAATAATTATTATCTTGCAAGATACGCTGGATGACAGGGCTAGCGAGCGATGCCCTGGGCCGCGGAAAATGAAGAGAAAGACGATTAGAGGGGAAAGTAGCCTTACCCGGGTAAACCTGGGGGAAAAAGGCCATTAAACAAACGAAGAAAGAATAATAAAATATAAGGCACAAACAAAAAAAAATAAAATTAAACCGATTTAGATGCTTTGATCATTATTCTCCATTGACGAGCAGCTTTGGCCAAATCTTTGCAACCTTTGTTCCGATTGGCTATCAATTGATTTGTTGATTCCGAACCCCATTCGTGATATTCTTCCTTTTTGATTATAATGGATAAATAATGATGAGAATTAGAAGGAGAAATCGTATAACCCCTACATTCAAAATTAGCCAATTCGTGCTAAACTGTGAATGTAGGGTAAGGAGGATTTACCATATTATAATGAATTGTAAGAAAATATGAAAGTAAATTTATAATCGATGAAATAATGTAACCCAAATTCCAATTTTGTATCGGTAAGCAAAATGAATGATCGATTTAAGAAATAACTAATATCAAAGTTGGAGGTAGTGTTGTTAAACGGCTCGTTTTGAGCCGATTTTTAAAAACGGCTAACTCAATACTTCATCCAGAAAAATATTACCCTAGCCTGAAGATTTTGCCTCATAGAAGGAACAAAAACAAAAGTCTAGACATGTATTATAGAAATCTTGAGGCTTAGCGTTTAACAACACTAGTTGGAGGTAAAAAGTTATAACCTTTTTAGAGACCGCTTCAATAAGTTGCTATTTTTTTTTATAAAATAATAAATTCACGTTTGTACCATAAATTTTTTTTTATGTCAGCCATTTCATATATGATAAATCCCTAACCATCCCCCAATCAATTTTATAAGGGTGGGCAATTAAAAATAGATTCAGAGATTACTAGGATGTCTATAGTCGAAGGGGGGGGGGGAGGGCAAATATAATTAGATGCAATATTTGGCTTTCAATATTCGAGTTTAAAAAATAGGTTGGTAATAGAATTAGATCAAAATTCCACAATTATATATAAATAATAAAATAGATGGTCATTCGTTACTTTTATAAAATGTCCCGCTTGGGAGCAAGTCTCCAAATAGGATTTATGGAGTACCCAAAGTCCTTTGGCTATACTCGCCAAATATTTTTCCGTTCTCATGGGAACGTCCACCAACAAATGAGTAGCTTGCGGGTCAAAACACACCATATCGGACACGGTTCCGCCTAATCCTTCAATCAGAGATCCGTAATGAATTTTATCCTGTCATTTTTTTTTCCGGAAATAGTCATATTCATTTTTTAAAAAAAAGTCTCAAAGTAAAAAAGTTCTAAAATTAGGAAATCCCATTCAAAGTAGAAAGTTCTAAAATTAGGAAATCCCATTCAAAGTAGAAAGTTCTAAAATTAGGAAATCCCATTTTGAGGCTTATTTAATAAAGGGTTTGCCAAAAATAAAAATAATTTCAAGAATTAGCGTAATTATACAATAAAATAGTTTACGGTAATAAACACGTATAGCGAAAAGTGTTAGCGTCAACGAGCCGATTTTCAAAGATGGCTGACTCAATATTTTATCCAGGAAAAATTTAACGCAAACACGGAAATTTCGCTCATAGATGGCACAAGAGTTTGGGCATCTAGTTAGCCAAATCTCGAGGCTTGGCAAATATTGAGTGAGCCGTTTTCAAAAATCGCCACAAATCGAACCATTTAAGAACAGATTAATGATACGAGTCCACGTATAGCGATTTTCTAAATACCGACCAACATATATTATAACGGAATCACGTGATCGAGTCCGTTCTCCTATATATCACCCCCCCCCCCCCTCCCCCCAAGGACGGAACCACCAAGTTAGATTAAGAAAAAAACATGATTGTGGATTGGCAAGCTACGCAATTGCAACTAGGCCACAGAGACTTTCCAAAAATCATATATTATAAATAAATTTGGTAGTGCCTATCCAAATGAAAAATAGAAACAAAATACAAATTTGATAGGTAATACCTTAAGGTAGTGACTACCATTAGCCTTAAGAACCACTAGTTGGCGACAATGTGTCATTTTTTTCAACTTTAAATTATTTTTCGACCGTGTATTTTTTATTTAATTTAAAAAAAACAACATTTTACCGGAAATGAATTTCGACATGTTTAGAAAAAAACATACCCTACCGTGTGATTAGAAAATTTCGATGTGAACTTTTCAAATTTATATAAATTTATATTAGTTTTTTCATAGATTTTTTTTAAAAAAATATAAATTATATTTAAATGACTCAAAAGTTATGAAATTCTCCGAAATTCGTAAGGTAGTTATTCTAAGCATGCTGGAATAGACTTCTGGTAAAATCAGATTTTTTTAAAATTTAACAAAAATGATCAAAATTTGAAAAAAAAATAAATAACGCATTACCATACAATAATTATAGAGTGTTTATCATTGATTTGAGGATTAAAACTTATTTATGCATACAAAAATATAGTGATAGAATAAAAAAAAAGGAATTTAATCTCTTGATTAATTTGATTTAAATAAGGTTAACCTTATTTTTCCAAAAAAAAATAAATAGATAGTGATTTAAATCACGATTTAAATCATGCAAAACCCTATTAATCTTACAATAATTATCGAGTGATATCATTAAATTTTTTGACAAAAGTTATTCCGAAGTTTTTTAAGGGTTACCTCTTCTGAAAGGGCCGAAAACATGAATTTAGGCTTCGCTGTGGTATCTTGACCTATGTTACTTATATCGCACTCATTCATGATACCCTTGAAGTTCTTAGATTTATCCTCCACGAATGTAGAACTTTTCATATCCGCAATTCCTACAATGTCTTCGGTAGTGGCAGAATCTCTCTGTTTAGAGAAATTAATTTTGGTGGAAACGACTGACGAGGTTTGTTTATGAAACGCTAAAGAATTTATTAAATGAGATTATCAAATTTTTAAAAAAAAATCATAACAGTAAAAAAAATAAATAAAATATACACCATTTCAAAATATCTCAAGGGAACAGATGTTTAAAGTTGACCGGATATAACTAACAAAAAAAATGTCATAAATCAGTTTGAGATTTCTGCTAAAATGCTAGTTAAACTCACGCCTCTTGTTAATTAAGTGGATGGTGAGATATCTCTGATTTATTTATATAAATTAAATATCTTAAATAATTTGGAAATTATAATGGCTATCAATCGTATCAGCTGATTTTAAGGACTCGTTTTGATTATCCGATTGGAAAACTTAAAATTTTGTTCGAATTAGGGATTTGCTCGAATTAACGGTAGTCTAAATTAAACAAGTTTTACTGTAATCTAGTTTTAATTTCGATCAAAAGTTTGAGTTTGGGTAATTTATCAATTACATTATAAAACTTACCTAAGCTGACGATTATTAAAATGCATTTGGAAGAGCGTCATTGAATATAAAACAGCTGTAACGCCATTTTTGGTTTCCGGTATCAATTTATTATTAAAATAAAACGAAAATGGCTTACCAGAAACTGATTTGTTTTGGTATATATTTATATGTCCTTGGATTGGACATTAGCTTTTTAACAAAAAAAGGTTTTTTCCTCCAGCTCTAATCAATGTAATGACAATTACCGACCTAGAGGAGGGGCTTTAGGAAATTGATTCATCATGGTCGAGTTTTCGGACATCTTAAAAGTAATATTGGTGGTCGAATTATCGTTGGTGGTGTTAAAGAGGTCTTTTGATAGTGGGGTAAGGGGGGAGGTGGAGGATAGCAAACTCAGCTGTTTCGATATTTTCTCCCTTTCGCGTCTATCATTATATTAAATAAATGAGTAAAAAATAAAATATTTTCTCTAAATAAATTATTAGATTATTACTTTCCTACGGGATCTTCCCACGTTATCTGAATGTTTTGCGACTGAGAATTATCGGAACAAGCGAAGTTATTATGGATATAATTGTTAACGTTATTGGCCGAGAGTCTATTCGTACATTCCAGGTGGTCAAGCTTTCGAGATACGTTCATGGCGTTATGTTCATCTTCCTATTTAAATTACAGTTATAATATTAGTATAACATTTTAATTTATTTCTCCTACACCCCCCACCCCACCCCCATCCCCCCTCGAGGGTTTAAAGTGGTCAGATTCGAAAAAGGTCTCCTACCAAGTTTTTGATTGTTTCCGCCATTCCCTTCTTCAATTTACGTTTGGATTTTCTGTTCCTCTGGTAAATGGTTCTAGTCTTGGAGATAATATCTTGCAGTTCTTGTTCTATGCCCGTTTGGCGGCGTTCGGTCGAAATATCGGGTAACGTAGAAAAATTCGTGTTTATTCTTAAGAAAAATAAAAAAAATTTAAAAAAAAAACCTATATATATATATATTATTTTTCAAAATATTTCAGCCGAGTTAAACGCAGTTCGTCTCAAAAATAAAATGTCAATATTTATTATTCTAAATTCTTTTCCCGCCTTTTCCCCTTATGAACAAATATAAAATCTACTTCACCAGATAACCCCAAGTTTATTTTTATCTTTTATATATATTTTTATAAATCAAAATGTAATATAATTTTATACCAAACAAAACATGTTTCAATTAACATCATTTTTCAAATATGAGATAAATGCTATATAAGTTTTTTTTATTATTATTATAGTTCATACATTTTATATTTCATTCTCTATATTTATATTATATTATCATAATTCGAGTGAATGCAACAAACTTTAACCCTACTCAAATATTTTAGCCCAAATTTATTATGCCAACCTGGAGATTTTTGCTCATATGGAGGCAGAAAGGTTTGAAATATACATGAAATATTGAGACTCGCGTAATATTATTTTATACCAAACAATCATGTTTCAAAATTAACATCATTTTCAATATGAGATAAATTCTATATAAGTTTTTTTAATATTATTATAGTTCATACACATTTTATTTTACATTCTATTTGGAATTATATTACCATGATTCGAGTGAATGCAACAAACCTCCACCCTACCTCATATTTTAGCCCAAAATATATTATGCAAACGTGGAGATATTGCTCACAGGAGGCAGAGAAGTTTGGGCATCTATTAATGAAATATAGAGGCTCGAGTAGATATTATTTTGGACTAAAATATTGATTTAAAATCGGCTAAAATGGAGTCGTTTAACAACGACTACTAGGTTGTATTCACCCCTCGCCCGTCACTTTTATATAAAAAAAATATCAGTCAGATATTTTACGTCGAATTTTCGGGTAAAGCGGGATCTAACTGCATTGTAGTATCGTTCGAACTGAGGATCCTGTTACTTTTGACAACGCTTTTTTTGTTGGTGCGATAAGGTGTTTGAATGGGAGACATGTCGCTCTACCAAAAAATGGTTTGTAAAACAAATATAATTTAAATTAACTTAATAAACGCTTTTTAAAAAATAGCTTTGGGCCCAGTTATAACCACCTGCAAAATTTTTTGGGGAAGCCAAAAATATAATACGCAAATCACAGTGAGCGATTATGAAGAAACGATATTTTAGGTGTTTCCTCCAGGAAGTAAATTATCTCAGAATTTATTACCCAAAAACTGGAAAATCAGATATATATATATATTTATTTAATTTTACTAAAAAAAGTCTCGGATCACGTGTATATGGATAAAGAGACTCACAATGCTTTACGCCATTTTGAGAGCAAGCAATTAACCAATCAGGTCCTACTATGATTTTATTGTCTTGCTGTGCCTGGCGGAATTCTTTCGACCTATCCTTGACTTTTCCCTTTGAATGGGGGTTAAATATGCATTTAAAAAAATAAATTTATAGTTACATTATTGATAATATTACGATCATTATTTAGAGAAATTTAACACACCATAAATCATCATAAGGTAGAGTAAAATATTCCTTATTATAACTTGATTATCCCGATAAAGTATCCTATAAAAAAATATAAATTATATATTCAATATTCATATAATGGAATAGATGTGATGGGAGATGTCATGAGAAGAAATAGGGCAAGATGGTTTGCATATTGTAGGAATTATGGAAGATTGGAGGAAACTAGATTCAAAGCGAGATAAAAAAAAACAATATGGATACGGATATGAAAAGAAGGGCCTTTGATGCCTAAGATCGCGGTAAATGGAGAAAGGTTAAGAGATGCAGCTGGCTAACTTGGGGAAATCTGGACAAAATGGTGCGAAACGACAAAGATGTATCTTATCAATCAATACCTTTAACATTTTACTTTCTTTCACTTTGAAATTTAACCTAAAATGACATTTAGCGAAGAGTTAACTGCGATACAGACACTTCACCAAAGTAACTCCCCCCACCCCTGCCAAATATTTCCCAATTGTTTAACATGTGTGTATCCACAAATGAAATATGAATGCACGTGCAACCCAAATACTCAAAATTTGAAAAAAAAATCTTATATTTATATATTTAAAAAAAAAGAAAAAGTAAGACAGTGAGATCATTAAACAAATAGACTTCTGATCAAAGTGCGACTCTACGAAATGAAAGTATACTTGAATTTTAAAATAAATATTGCATATAAGCTAATAGGGGTGTTACAAAAACTATATTAGTATTAGTAAGATATAAGCTATATATATATATATAATACCTGATATACAAAATGAGTGCACGACTTATCGTAGACCCATTTAACTTCGGCACCCATATCCGTGGCCATTTTGTTGAGTTGCTTTTGGTTCATGGCCAATTTTTTGCTTACCGCTATAATGCACCCTTTCAGGATCGGCTCCTTAAAAATTATTATTTATTTAAAAATGTTTTTTAAGTAGAAAGAATAATCTGACTAAAATCCTATTTTTTTAAATAAATAAAAAAAATAATAATTCGTTAGGTGTTATTTGTTTTTCTTTTAAATTGGCCCGGATATTAACTCTTGTGGGTCAGGTTGGCTCTTTTAAAATAACCGGATGTTGAGAGCAGTTGATTATTAAACATATAATGTTGCTAAACGATTCGATTTGATCCGATTTTTAAAATAGGTTTATAAGTGCACACAAATTGAGCGTTTACGCTTTGCCGTAATTTTTTTGCTTTCTTATTTCTTTATTTTCTAAATATTCCTTTTTAGGATATAAGTAAGTTATTTATATTATCGTCTACCTTCTTATTTCTTTAATTTCTAAATATTCCTTTTTAGGATATAAGTAAGTTATTTATATTATCGTCTACCTTCTTATTCCTTTATTTTCTAAATATTGCCTTTTTAGGATATAAGTAAGTTATTTATATTATCGTCTGCCTTCTTATTCCTTTATTTTCTAAATATTGCCTTTTTAGGATATAAGTAAGTTATTTATATTATCGTCTGCCTTCTTATTCCTTTATTTTCTAAATATTGCCTTTTTAGGATATAAGTAAGTTATTTATATTATCGTCTGCCTTCTTATTCCTTTATTTTCTAAATATTGCCTTTTTAGGATATAAGTAAGTTATTTATATTATCGTCTGCCTTCTTATTCCTTTATTTTCTAAATATTGCCTTTTTAGGATATAAGTAAGTTATTTATATTATCGTCTACCTTCTTATTTCTTTAATTTCTAAATATTCCTTTTTTTAGGGTTATAAGTAAGTTATTTTATATTACATTTTTATATAATATTACAAAGCGTAGAAATTTTAAAAAAAGTATTGATAAAGCAAACCTGTTTGCTTTTTTTTTAAAAAAATGGTTCCTAATGCCAAACGGTAATTTTACCAATTTGCACGAGGCCATTTTGAAATACAGACGCGGCGTTTGAAACGCTCAATTAGTGCGCCCTATAACTCGATATTTTATTCATAAAAATATTACGCAAGCCCTACAACATTTTGCTCATAGGCGGCACACTAGCGGAAATCTCGAAGCTTATGCAATCTTTTTCCGGTTAAAATATTCAGTTAGCCATTTTTTTTTAAAAAAATCGACTCAAATCAAGCCATTTAAAAACACATAACCAAAATAAAAAAAATTATTTCTAGATGTAATATAATGCTCATCGATAAATTATTATTTATTCTACTGTTGAGGATATATTAATAAATTTAAATGTATATATTTTTTATACGTCTAGGTGTAAGAAGAGTAATAAATATTTCCGATTTGGGAACTGGTAGAAAAAATTAGATCTAGAAAATCTCGAAAAAAAAAATATTACAAGTAAAGTTTTTTTTTTAATCCACTATACAAAGGCGAATTCCGAAAACATTGGCGTTTCCTTTTAAAAACGGCTATTTATTAAAAAAAATTTATACTATATTATATATAGCGTTTTAAATGACGTCATTAAATAATCATTTAACGACGTCATGAACGTGTATTTTATAGCAAATAAGCATGGCGAAACGCGTCTTCCCGGAGATCGCTTTGGAAAAAAAAATGAAGAAACTAATTTCTTGTTTGGAATTCTACTACTATAAGAGTGGAAATTTTATGTTAGGTAAAATTTTTTTTATTTAAATGGATAATTTAATAAAGCTCTTACATGATTCTTCACGAAGCTTAGACTATTTTCGCTGACTTTCTTGACGTTTGATCTCTTAGGCCTCTTATCGGTAACATCATCTTGAGAATCTTTAAAATCGCGTTCGATTGACGAAGATGATGTCGGAGAATCTATGACGGAGGCGGGAAGAAAGGTGTGTTCCTGAGAAGCGCGGGTAAGTTGGGCGTTTTTCCTTAATAAAATTTAAAAAAATATATAGCGGATAATTTGTAAGTTTGAAACAAAGTGTGGGAAATGATACCAAAATAAATTGCGATATAATTATTACTTGAGTTCGCGTCGAGCTTTCTTAAGTTTTTTTGCTGGAATCGATTTTGTTTCGACAGCGGAAACCGGAAAAGCGTCACCATCAAGACCATTTTCCTAAAAATAAAAAAATATTCCATATTACGAAATAAAGGAGTATTTTTTGAAAGATGGGAGGGGGGGGGGGTAGAGTAAAAAAAATAAAAAATTAAAGAAAACCTGAGACATTTTATGGATAATTTTCTGAGCTTTTTCGTAAAATATTTGGGATAAGGAAATACTCGAACGCCTCTTCTTGTTGACGAGGACCTTATCCAGCGCGTTGAGCGACTTTAATGCTTCCTTTAGATAAAACAAAAAACATTTTTTTCTTCCTTGTTGAGTTTTTAAAGGGATTCAATGCTCAATATTTTAACTTCCAAATCAGGCTAGTTAGAACCAACCAGAGTTGTTAATCGCAACTTTAAAAAATAGCGCGCTACCGCTATCTGTCAAAAAAAGTAGCTCGCTATTAGCTATTATTTTACTTTTTATAAAAAAAAATTTAGAAACAAATTTGTTTTATTTTTTGCTTATATTGTTATTTTATAGTAAATATATAAAAATCAACATTTATTAATATTAAAATAATAGTTAGTTTTGTATAAAAAAATTTATGTAATAAAAATAAATATTTATGGTAATTTGTTGCATTTTATAAGTTTTTACCTAATGTTATGTGTTCAACTATCTGCCGTGGTACATATATATGATATCTCTGATAACTCTACTATTAGAGCATCTTTCATCACTATAAAGTTATCTTGTCTGGCAATATAAAATTGTTGTACTAGAGGATAGAGTTTTAATCATCCTGGTAAATGATGGATTATCAACCAAGGACATTGGCTCAACTAGTGTTGCGTAATCGGCTAATTTTAGCCGACTATTAAACGGCTTAGCCTTGATTTCAGGTGAATAAATCGGCTAAGCCTAATTAGGCTTGGCTAAAATAAATTAGTCAAAAATTCTGCATCATTAATTATTATTTATTTATTTTAGTAAAATAATTTTATTTTATATATTTTATTATTATCAACGAATAAATATGTGATATGATTTAATATTTTTTTTATTTATATTGTTATATTTTGAAATGAAAATTTAAAATAATAATATGATGCTATTGCAAAAATGTAATATTCTTTTTTATATAATTTATTAGTAATTTTCACTAGAGATCTGCAAAGTAGAGTCTGGCCCGTGCCTGGCCTGAAGGGGCTTCGGGCTGGAATCGGGCCTAATTCTATTTAAAATAATCGGGTTCGGGCCGGACCTAATATTTTTAAAAAAATTTCGGGTCGAGTCGGGTCGGACCTTGGAAATTTTTTTAAATATATATTCTAAATTTATCGATTTTATATTGAATTTTTTATGTAAGATAAAAAATATCAGATTTTATTTATCGAAAACTAAACGACATGTAACAGCTGTCTTTTATTTTGAAGTAATTATAAAAATTGAGTTTCTATATTTAAATAAATTCGGGACGGGCCGGGTCGGTAAATTATATTAAAAAATATTTCAGGTTCGGGCCGGGCTTGAAAAATTATGCCCGATGCAGATCACTAATTTTCACAATCATCTTTGTAGAATACATCTTTTATTGAGGAATTACATTGTAAATTTTTGTTAGATAAAAAAACAATCTTTTAGGTGAAATCTTTTATAATATTTTTTTTTATCAATTTTGTAAAATTATCTATTTTTTTTTATTAAATGATGTGTTTTTTTAAATAATTTAAAAAAAAATATTTATATTAAACTTTTTTGATGTTATTTTATATGATCTTTTTAAGGATAATATTTTAATGTGACAATTGTCATAATCGTTATTTTTAAAGTTTTTTGATTTTTTTGACGAAAATAGATTAAAATAAATATTGATAACATGTTTAAATAAAAATTTAGTGAAGATGTACCATAAAAAGTGACAATTGTCATAATCGTTTTTTAAAGTTTTTTGAAGAAAATATGTTTATAAGTATTGATAACATGTTTAAATTAAATTTAGTGAAGATGTACCGTAGAAAAGTGACAATTGTCATAATAGTTATTTTTAAAATTTTTTTATTTTTTTTTGACGAATAGATTAAAATAAGTATTGATAACATGTTTAAATAAAAATTTAGTGAAGATGAGATAAGTGACAATTGTCATAATCATAGTTTTTAAAGTTTTTTGAATTTTTTTGACGAAAATAGATTAAAATAAGTATTGATAACATGTTTAAGTGAAGATGTACCATAGAAAAGTGACAATTGTCATAATCCTTATTTTTAAAGTTTTTTAAATTTTTTTAACAATATGTTTAAATTATTGATAAGATGTTTAAATTAAATTTAGTGAAGATGTACCGTAGAAAAGTGACAATTGTCATAATCGTTATTTTTATAGTTTTTTTAATTTTTTTGACGAAAATATGTTAAAATAAGTATTGATTACATGTTTAAATAAAATTTAGTGAAGATGTACCATAGATAAATGCTGCAATCGTAGTTTTTAAAGTTTTTTGACGTAAATAGGCTAAAATAAGTATTGATAACATATTTAACATAAAACAACATTTAAAAAATCCAGGACGGGCCAGCCCTGAATATATAAAGTACGGATAAAAATCCTGGCCAGGCCTAATTTTTTTTTTGAAAGGAGCTGGGACGAAATTTTTAAATTTTAAAAATTAGGGTCATGCAAATAACACCTCTACTGCTATTTCATAAATTAATTATTTACAAAAAAAAATTTAAAAATTCATAAATAACACTTAATATGAATAAAAATCACCTTTAAAGATATTTAATAAAAAAATTTTTTTTAATATTTACATCAAATTTTATGAAAAAATAGAAAAAAAAATGTCGAGTTATTATCTTTAGCTCAAAAAAAATAAATATTTATATTTTAATTCTTATTTTATAAAATTAATTATAGCACTAATTTTAACCCATTTGCTCCAAAAAACTTAAAAATAACGATTATGACAATTGTCGCTTATCTAGAGTTAATCTTCACTAAATTTTTATTTAAACATGTTATCAATACTTATTTTAAAATATTTTCGTCAATAAAATTCAAAAAACTTTAAAAATAACGATTATGACAATTGTCACTTTCAACGGTACATCTTCACTAAATTTTATTTAAACATGTTATCAATACTTATTTTAGCCTATTTACGTCAAAAAAATTCAAAAAACTTTAAAAACTACGATTATGACAATTGTCACTTATCTATGGTACATTTTAACTAAATTTTATTTAAACATGTTATCAATACTTATTTTAACATAATTTTCGTCAAAAAATTCAAAAAACTTTAAAAATTTGATTATGACAATTGTCACACATAATTTTCGTCACAAAATTCAAAAAACTCGATTATGACAATTGTCACTTTTCTACGGTATATCTTTACTAAATTTTTATTTAAACATGTTATCAATACTTATTTTAGCCTATTTACGTCAAAAAAATTCAAAAAACTTTAAAAACTACGATTATGACAATTGTCACTTATCTATGGTATATTTTAACTAAATTTTATTTAAACATGTTATCAATACTTATTTTAACATAATTTTCGTCAAAAAATTCAAAAAACTTTAAAAACTCGATTATGACAATTGTCACTTTTCTACGGTATATCTTTACTAAATTTTTATTTAAACATGTTATCAATATTTATTTTAATCTATTTTCGTCAAAAAAAAATCAAAAAACTTTAAAAATAACGGTTATGACAATTATCATTTTAAAATATTATCCTTAAAAAGATCATATAAATATCATAAAAAAAGTTTAATATAAATATTTTTAAAAAATTATTTAAAAAAACACCTCATTTAATAAAAAAATAGATAATTTTAGAAAATTGATAAAAAAAATATTATAAAAGATTTAACCTAAAAGATTGTTTTTTTATCTAATAAAATTTACAATATAATTCCTCAATAAAAGATGTATTTACAAAGAAGATTGTGAAAATCTTTAATAAATTATATTAAAAAGAATATTACATTTTTACAATTATCAGTAAATATTCAAATAAAGTAACCCATGACCATTTTAATATAGCAGCATATTATTTTTTTTTATTAAAAAAACATAAAATAAATTAATTTATTTTCATTTCAAAATATAACAATAAAAATAAAAAATATTAAATCATATCATGTTTATTTGTTGATAATAATAAAATATTTACATTAAATATAAATAAAATAAATTATTTTACTAAAATAAATAAATAATAATTAATGCTAGGCATCGATGCAGAATTTTTACTAAATTAATTTTAGCCGATTTATAGGCTTAGTTAGACGATTTTTAGGCTGAGCCTAATTAGGCTTAGGCGTAGTTTTTAGCCGATTACGCAACACTAGGCTGAACTGTATCAATTGTAAAATCAACAATAATTTTATCAGACAATTTCTGAGAAATATTGGCATTTAGTTTATAAATTAATTTGGTTTGATTTGAATTAGTCTTTTAGGATGTAGAATCGCTTATACCAAAATGATTTTAATGTTTCCCCATTTCCTTAAAGCTATTGGTATGAACAGTCTTATAAAATAAACACTATTAGAATGTAATAATGACAATTTACCTTTTGGTGTTTCTTGAGGTTATAACTGGATTGATTTGAGGAAATATTTTTTTCAATTTAAACAAATAAATTTGAAGCCAGTTTTGGTTTTTATATTTATTTTAATCAAATCTAGGGAATGGGAAATTTGTTGTATTATAGCTATTAGAACATTTTCTTCCCTGGTATTTTCCATTTTATTAATATCATTGTCTGAATCACTTTCAACGATTTGGATATCCATAGGCGATAACATTTTAAATTATTAACCCGTGATTTAGTTTTATAATACAAATTACAAATTGGAAATATATTTCAATTTCAAAATTAAAAAATAAATCCTAAAAATTATAATATATTATGATATTACATTTAAATTTTCATGTTTATACTTATACCTTCATTATATTTTTCGACTAAAAAATTAAATAATTACAAAAAAAGTAGCCGCTATTAGCTATAGCTAGCAAAAAAGTTATAACTCTGGAACCAACTATATTTCTTTCCTACTATTACCCCTAGAAAAATTTAATTTAAGCATATAAGTTTTTTCAATAATTTAAATTTAATAGTGTAAGCTTTACATCCTTTATGAAACTAATTTTATTTCTTTTTTTTTTAAAAAAAAAAGTAGAATACGAGATCTGGTTGGGAAAGGGAAATTCTAAACAAAAGATTTTTTCTAACATCGATTCGAAACCCGGAATGGATGGGCAGATGTCGGGAATCGTTGTCTATGTGAACCTTTACCGATGTCTTCACGGATGGCGGGACATTTTCTTTCTGATAAATTTAAAAATAAATAAAATAAGTAATTTCAATCGAGACCTATATATTATATTTTGAATAATTTTGGCCTTATAATTTCTCTCTAGTTTTAAAGGAAAACCAAAAAATCTGAGTTAAATGAACATTATGATGTGTAAAGACATATGGTAAGATGAATTAATTTACGAAATTCATTAATATTAACAGTTACCTTATTTTAATATGAATCCTTTTTTAAAAAAATTATTTCATAGTAATTTAAGTGATTGATATTCGTTAATATATGTTACGTATAAATCGAAGACTAAAAAAATTTTTTTAAAATTTAAAACTTTCAAAGATCAGCCAAATCGCCAAAAAAACTAATTATATTTTTAAATTTATAATAAAAAAACAATAATTCTCCCCCCCCCCCTCTCCCTCAAAACAAAACTCTTAGAATTTACATTACAATTTATATTAGATTAATTTGCCTATTCAATCCAATAAAATTATGAATAATAAATTTTAATTTTACGATATTTTCTTTAAAAAAAAAACTATTATTTTGCAAGATACTACTTATTTTTAACATAAATTTGCGTCAACAAAATTTGCCTATTCAAATGTAATAAAATTATCATTAATAAATTTCACAATATTTTCTTTAAAAAAAAAGAGTATTATTTTGTAAGATATTACTTATTTTTAACATAAATTTGCGTCAACAAATATTAAAACATCAAAATTTGGCGAGCTCCTATATGGCAATATTTTATCCTCCCTCTTCCGAAAACAATTTTAACTTCAATAAGAAGATTTACACCAATTTTTATAGGATTAAAACTAGGGTAAAAGCCGTTTATGAAGTTGGGCGATGTTAAGTGATTTAACAAGGTCTCCATTTTAGAATCTCGGGCACTGGCAACGGTTAAAATTAAAATGATACCAGCTGACTGGCATACTGCATCTCTGGTAATAAACACTCTTATAGGAATCTTTGGTAGGAAAAAAAAGAAGAAGAGCGAATATTTTAAGCTGTGACCGAATTTCGCGGGCAAATTTGAAATAAAATATTTTGTATGAATGATTAGGTGGTTAAACTTGTATTCCACTAGAAGTGACAAACATTGTCGAATCCGATCCCCTGGGTTCAACTCCGGTCTGAGCAGATAGAGGGTTTGGGTGGATGCCATTGTCAAAATTGGCGGTGGTCTGATTATGGATACCTTGAGACGATATTCCCAAGGTGCTTGACATGTCACCGGAAGCTTTAAAGATATACGACATTTATTTTTTAGATGAAAGAAGAATTTTTAAAAAAATTGTACCACATCCAATTAATTAGTCAGCTAATAAAAAATTAAAGACTTTTAAGCATTTGATGGTGAGGAAATGTCTTGCATTTTATCCGAAAAGTATTAGGTATTATTTATTGGTGTTAGAGTTGTAAGGTGACCATTATTTCCAACATTCTCTGAATAAATATAAATTACTCAAAATTTTTGGCACCCGAAAAAAAAAATCAAAACTTTTCCGATCGATGCCCATCATATAAGAATATATTCAATATAAACGTCAATCAATTATTAAATAAAACATTAAAGCCTCATTTTTTTCCCCTAACCTAATCATCAAACACGATCTTCTTAATTCGTTTTCTTAAAGTTAAAATGATTATTGAACCAAATTTTAAAAAAATAAATCTTAATATAAATGGATACTGCATAAATATTTTTTGTTTTAACAAACTTTTATTGGAAGATGTGACAGGTAGGTATTGGCTCAATATGTCCATATCGATTTGTATTGGTTTAGGAGTCGAATTATTGCGTGGTGGTGATTCGTCGTTCCTATAGGAATAGTGTTTATTTTTTTAAAAGATTGTTATTATATTTTTTGTAGGGTCTCTCCCTTTTCCTTATCGCTATTTCTATGGCGTGCTATTACTTTTAGATAGAGGTACACCGATCTTTTAATAGGTATTACTCTTTTGCGTGGATAATAAAGTGGGAGGTGACAGAAAATGGGGTCTAATCTAAAAATGTCGACGGCTGATTAATTAATAGCAAGGTACTAACTTTGTTAGAATGTTGGACCTCGATGATAAGGTAGAAAGCATCTCATCCGGACTTGCAACCCTAGTGTGAAACTATTCATGAAAGTTCAAAAAATATGATTGTTGTCCTTAAAAATAATTTTAAGAATAAGAACCAAACTTGGAAGCATGTCGGAGGGAGTTGTGAGGTTTCTGGAACGTGAATGAGGTTAACGGCCCTCTATGTCTTCTTGACCTTGTCTTCAAGGTTTAGCGCAAGTGTGTAGTGTCTAGGCAATGCATTTAGAGATATGGGAAGCCATATTCTCTATAACTCAAGATGTTGTGATGGTGCTGTGGCTTGCTGTGCAAACTATAATCGGGCATGCGCCTGAGTGAAAAGAAGGATGACTACTATATCTCTCTGTCTAAACTACTCAGAGTAGAGTTTCACTGAGCTAAAAAGACTTAATACTATACTTGAGATGGGAGGGGAGTGAAGGTCGCTTCCACCTCCTTCCACTTTTTTGGATAGGAAATCAACGCCTCATTTACCATCAGCACTCTTGCTGCGTTTAAGATTCTATAAAGATATGGCTCCCCCATATAACTAAAAAACATTGGACCAATATATTAGTATCTTGGATGCACATGACGTTGACGCCATAGAACTGTGTCTAGAAGATAGATCGAGGAGACGTAGAGGGTCGTTAATTCCTTTTACATTCCAAGAACCAATCTTCATCGTGGCTTTGTTCAACTCGCTCCATCCATCAGGTTTCCGAGTTAAGTTCGTTCTATTCTCAATAATGGTTAGAAATAAGAGAATCAATTTTTTCATAAATCATTTTTCGTTTCATAAATTATTTTGGGTAGCAATTTTGAAGGATGTTCCACTAGACCCGAAAGTTCTAATGAGCTCCTTTCTCTCATATCTTTAGGATCTAGCATTTAGACAAATTTTAAATCGCGAGTCGCTGCTCGGTCATCACCCAAAATCGATCTTTGCCAGGGGCGAGTTACTTATTAAAGAATTGCCTGATCGAGATAATAAGGAAGCAAGTTATTAACACGAGAATAATTATTGTACGGGTTACCAAAATGGCGGGTCCAGCTGATTTGCATTTCAATGACGCTTTCAAGTGCATTATTATGAATGCATCGTCAGTCTAGATATTATTACATGTCATTGGCCTAATCATAAAATGATTAAGGAAAAAATGGTTCAGGGTTCAGATCAACCTAAAATATTTTTCTTGGATCAACGGTCCAGAAACATGAATAAGACTCGGTGTTTTGCCGACCTGCATTGTTAAACTTTTAGAAAGTAAAAAAAAAATGGCGAAAATAAGGTCATTCATTTTGTGCTATTTTACAAAATAGAATTTCCATACCCTGAGTGTTGAGTTTGGGTTGACGTTAGATTAGAATCACGGACATTAAATTGGCTAAGCTTTTCGCACGTTTGTGGTATGAAACTTTGACAAGGCGAAATTCTAGAAATTTCTATATCTAATTTTTTTTTTAAAACAAATTAATATAAAGTTAATATAATGTTTTTCTAACTATATTTTCCCATAAATTTATTATTGGTACGAGTAATTGAATTATAGAAATAATTTTTCTTTGGGGATTGGACATAACGCCATACCATATTAATAATCATATCCTTATTATCTTATAGCATTCGAGGAAATTAAGAATTACGGTTTTTGAAGTCAGTTTTGGCATCCTTGCAACTCAATGTCCCGTTAGGAGTAGATTGGGATGGACCTTTATCACCTCTTTTAACGTCAATACCGTTCGATTCTTCAAAAAAACTTTTGACTTTACTCCCATCGGCGTTGTTGGTTGCTTCACTGGGATAGGCGGAAGGGATGGATGAATTATTCGGAGGAGTAAGTGGGAAGGAGTAAGCTGATTCTTCGATAAACCTGTTATGCGAAACGCAATCCGTCAACCAATGCGGATTAACTATCTTGATATTTCCCCACTTGGTGGCATATTTGTATTTCATGCCTTGAGTAAAATATGTTTACAAATTAATAAAATTAAAAATTGGCAAAATATTAAGTGTCTCTTTATGGTCATAGCAATTTTTTCCCTGGTGGATCATAAAATTCACGATTTTATAAAAAAAAAAGAAGAATGGTTGCACGTCAAAATGCCCATAAATTCGAAAAGTTCCTTCTGATCAAGCAGCTTCTAATTCGATAATAACAAATATCAAGTTCATACTGCCAAATATCAAAGTGACGCCCAAATTGAAATATAAATATTTAACATTTAGCAAGAGGTGAATGGCATGATTGACGTTTTCGTTCAAAATGTCAACCTAGCAGAGACTGGGTTGCCACGGGTTTGCCATCCCTAAAATTTACGACATATGTTTATCCATTATCGTGTATGCCCAACTGGAAGGTAGAGCAATTACTAAATGATACTGAGAGCAAAGCCGCATTTGAATTATTTGATTAATTTTTTTCTTCTAAAATAATGATTACATCTTAAGGCGTTTTTATTATACATTCATAAATAAAATCGAAAAAACGGATTGGTAAGTTTACAAATTTTTGACACATCACGTTGTGGTAGTTACTGTTATATCTGTTGATATGTAATTGATAGATAGACGTTTTCAATTGATTTCGAATAAGATATAGATAACATTTATTATTCTTTGTTCCTGATCATATGATCTGACAATTGATTGATAATAATTGGTGAAATAAAAGATTTTGTTGGTTTTGGAGTGGTATTTTAAAAAATACACTTATATATATATATGTATAATATTAAATAATATACATTACATTTTGTTTTTAGGAAATTTATAAAATCTAATAGCTCTCAAATCTCAACACCAATTACGAGATATCGATATTTCCAAAATTTCTATCAAAATTTTTCGTTATTACGATCATCAATATAATTTTAACTATATTTTTCTATAAAATTTTAAATTGGCACATGTAAAATTTGTGTTTATATTATTATAAAAATATATCTTTTATTTGTTCTTTTTTTTTTATATTTGTAAATTAAAATTTAATTTTATATTTCAGCAATATCCGTTTTCTATAATTGAAAAATTATATATATATAATATATTATTCGTATTTATTTTGCATCCCTTATATTTAGTTGAACTTAATCGGTTAATATTGTGTTCCTAGTGTTGTTAAACTCTTCTCTTCCCTTAGAAAGAAAGAAAGAAAGAAAGAAAGAAAGAAAGAAAGAAAGAAAGAAAGAAGCAATTTTGAGCCGATTTCTAAAAACGGCTAACTCGATACTTCATCCAGAAAAATAATACCCTAAGCCTGAAGATTTTGCTCATAGAAGGTAAAAGGTCTAGACATATAATGTCGAAATCTTGAGGCTTAAGGCAATATTTTTCTGGCTAAAATAGTGAGTTAGCTTTTTTTTAAGTTTAACACTATCTGTTCCTATACAAATTTTAAAAGGTTCTAGTCACATGTCACTCTTCCAGTGTTTCCGGATAAAAACTATCGAGATTAACTCTTAATTTATTAATATTGGCAGAGAAGATAACATTTTTACTAATAATAAAAAAAATAATATTTATTATACATTACCAGAGGCTTCCTTGAGAATCAGGTGGGTCACGTAATTCATCCTCATTTCTCCAGTGTAAGTACCGCCTTATATCGAAATAAAAAAAAAATTTGTTTTTAAGCTCAAAAATGAAGGTGATGTTTAGTAATATTTATTTTTATTTAAAAAAATGTAATAATTTCCTTAATTCTTTTTATAATTAACAAGATTGTTTTAGAGAATACCATCAAAATACCCTTTCCTACTTTCCTCGAGTATTTAACTAATATATTTATTTAAAGATAAAAATAAACCATTATTTTCGATCAATAGCTTAGCATCCCGCCTTTCATCCGCGTCAAATTGTGACAAGGAAATTACCAGGCCGTAAAATATAGGGCATTTGTGTTTGTCAAAGGATTCCGAGACGCAATCGCTGAAGATTCTAGAAGTTTTCGTGATAATTTTGGAGAAGAAGAAAAAACATATGATTATATTTATTTAGCAAAAAAAATACATTTCATGTAGATCGGACCATGTTGCCTCACGCGCGAATTAAATAATTTCAATTTTTTTTGTTCCATGTGGGGCTTAAAAATTTTTCGATTACTTTATTGGCTAATGGACAGATTTGGGATTAGTTTATTATTTACTTATATTTTTTATTACTAATTGTATAACAGACGATATTATAATAAGCATATTTTTATAGAAACAAAAAAAAATATTATATAAACGCCACAAGGAAAATAAATCGTCCAAAATAACAAAATTTTACCAATCCACAATTACATTTTTTTTTAAGCAATGGAAGATGAAAACATGGTAAATTTCAATTGATGAAATATTAAAGTTACCAAATAAATGTAAACAGCTTATTATCACATTTTTCCCGGCACTTAGAGGTCATGAATAAATGTTATAAATTTTGGCACTCATCCAATTTTAAATGAGTTTTCTTTGAAATGGATGTCGAAATTTTCGAATAATCAAATATTGTCCCAATATAATTTTTATTCTCTATTGTTATTTATAAAATATAACACCACTCTGCTGTCAGGTGCTTTGGTAGAGAGACTTATTAGTGTGGCAAAAAAAAAGTGTTTACAGATAAACGGAGATGCCTTGATGAATTAAAATTTTGAGAATTTTCTATTTAGTGAAATATAACAATTATCATTTATAATCATTTAATTTTATATTTTATATGTTGATGAGCATAGCCAGGATTTTCCTAAGGGTTCAGGAACCTTCGGAGCCAGACCCCCTTTTAGGCTTCGACCCGATTTACCCGGTCTTAGACCTGGTTTCCTTACTCTATATAGTTATTGTTACATGTTAGCTTAATTTGTTGTAATTCATTGTATAATACTTCTCAATATTTCGCTTATTCAATTTGTTGTAATTGTATATTTAAATATGCTCATATTATCTTTCTATTCAATGAAATTAACATGTATATAAATACATCTCAAGGCGATTAAATATATATATATTGATATATATTTTCATTTTCTTAATAACCGTTCTAGATTAAATCTTCAAGCCTATAATTTCTCTTTTTTCGTTTTTATGAGTTATAATATATTTTTATGTTAATTTTTAACAAAAAATATTAACTTTATTTAAAATATAAGAAATTGGTTAAGAGATTATATCAAAAAATAAGCCTAGAACAAATAGGAAATATGTATTTTTTTTTATTAGTTTATATAAAATATAATAAAAGATATGGTAGGGACCAATTGTGAAGTAATTTAGTGAATTTAAATATTCGTACGCAAACTTAAAAAGAATAGACATTAACACTGAGAATGCAATAAATGCGCAACACATTAATACAAAATTATTTCAAATTTTAGCATGCCTCCCTATTATGACATGTACTGATAAAATAAACAAATTTACGAAGGTTAAAAATACATTTGCTAAATAAATCAAATAATAGCCCTCTTAAATATTAAACGGGAATTAACACCAGTTAATTCCGAAATAATTAATGAATTATCAAATTCTAATAGATTAAACGTGATAATATTTATATGTAATAGCGCTAAGCCATTTTATGTTTTTAGCCTTCTTAAATTTGAGAAAGTTGTTTCATTTTGTACATGTCGTACATGCGATGCATGCTAAAATTTTAAAAGAATTTTGTGATGTTCGGAAAGTCTATTATCGTGTTTACAAGTATTGATTGCATTTAATGCGTTATCAGGCTTAATGCCCATTTCTTTTTAAGCTTGCATACCAATATTTAAATTCAGTTATTACTCCCATATTCGTTCACTTCCATATTTTGCAAATAAAACGTAATATAAATAGCGAACTTGGTTTCTAATCTCGTCCGAGATGTTCACAGATGGATTAGAGGAAAACAAAATTATGAAAGTTGTTGAGCAATAGTTCATGGTTCACTAAGCGTTCTCTAAATTGAGTTAAAAATGTATCCATAAGTGGTAGTGGTATAAAAATCGTAATTTTGTAATACCCCTCTACTGAATGTGTGGAAATACTATTCCCATGTACTTGTCTTGATACAATTCTTGGCATGCTTATTATCATATTCTATGAATGCACTTTTTTTAAACCATGTTAAAAATCTTGCTAAATTCACAATCAGCATTTATTTCTTATTTGTAAATAGCATCATATGCATCTTCTGCTAAGATCAATGCTTGAACCATATCTTTGTTCACTCTTTGCAAGGCTCTATAATAATATTGTAGGAGAGAAGAGAGTGTTAATGCAATGTAAAGCCAATAAAAACTCAGGATCTTAAATCGCTTTCAAATTCCATTAACTTCTACCACCACTGACGTATCGGTCCATTCATGCATTTCCTCTAATGCAACAATTATCGGGTCTATTAATACAAGGAAAACTGCAACTGATTCATGACATAAGATCCTTCGAGTTAGGCATATTTTGACAAGTTAACAATGACTATTCCCAAATTCTTCCTTTGCCAGATAATTCTTGAGGACATTGGATCTCTTTGGATACTTGAACATATGATATACTTTTCCTATTGTGCCTTTTTAAATATATGATTATAATTAAAATAAAGGGTGATTAAGCCCATGGTACTACGAATAACGGAAATTGAGCAACAGAAATGGCCGCTCATAGCAGGGGGAACCATCATATCCTTGTCCCCGCATAGAATTGACATTAATTTTATATTTTTTTAAGATGAAAATCAATTGTGTTCGCAAAACATTCGTCTCTCATATCTTGAATAGGAATAAATTGCAAAAAAAAACCTCTCATATTTGAGCTTTATCTATACAGACGATAATAATTTTTATACAAAATAATAAATTTTACCATTTTCAGAAAATAAATATGGAGCACACAACGACATTTGCTCTATCCCGGATATGTCTATTGATTCACCCGATAAAAACTAGAACGGAGACTTATTAATATACTATTTTTTCTTAATATCAGATCATTGCACACATCTACGATTTCGTTTCGATTAGTAAGGCAATACGTGGCATTTTTTGGTGCATTCAATAGTTACCCATCATTTTCATTTGTATCTCCCCAAATATATACAACCATCACGATGCCATCTTTAATGCCATACATTGATATGTCAATTAATGCATCTATTATAGGAGATATTTTTGTTTGTCTATTTTCAGTTGCTAATTTTTTTTTTAACCTTAATCTTTATAAAAAAAAATATGAGACCCTAAAGGTCAGCCCATTAAATTGCAACCTTGGTGGGTGTCTCTTATAGCAATTTTTAATGGTTTACCTATTATACGAATTACAGAATCTCTATCCTTATCATTAATTGTTCTCAGAGAAGATCCAATATTCTGTGCGTTTTGGTGTATGAATCAACAGACATATTCTGGGATAAGAGCAAGTGTAGTTGTGTGCTCGATATTTACATTCAAGAAAATGGTAAAATTTATATTTATTTTGTATAAAATTATTATCATTTATATAAAGATGAAGTTCAAATAAGAGAGGATCTTTATGCAATTTATTCCTATTCAAGATATGGGAAGCGAATTCCTTGCAGACACAATTGATTTTCATCTTAAAAAATTTAAAAATTAATGTCAATTCTATGCGGGGACAAGGATACGATGGTGCCCCTGCTATGAGTGGACATTTAAATGACCGCAATTTATGTTCATTGTGCATCACATTCCCTAATTGTAGCCATTTTTGATTGTTGCTCAATTCCCGTTATTCGTAGTACCATGGGTTTATTAAACTTTTATTTTAATTATAATCATGTATTTAAAAAGTCACAATAGGCAAAGTATATGATATGTTCGAGTGTCCAAAGAGTTCCAATGTCCTCAAAAATTGTCTGGCAAAGGAAGAATTTGGGAATGACCATCATAAACTTGTAAAAAATGTGCCCAACACGATGGATCCTACGACATGAATCGGTTGCAGTTTTTCTTGAATTAATTTACCCGATTATTGTTGCATTAGAGGAAATATGTGAATGGACCGATACATCAGTGGTGGCAGAAGCCAATGGAATATTGAAAGCAATTCAAGATCCTGAGTTTTTATTGGCCGTTCATTGCATTTACACCCTCTTCTGCCACACAATATCATTATGCAGAGCCTTGCAAAGATTGAACCAAGATATGGTTCAAGCATTGATCTTAGCCGAAGATGCATAATGATGCTATTTTGCAGATAAGAAAAAAAAATGCTGATTGTGAATTTAGCACGATTTTTAACAAAGTTCATAAAAAGTGCATTCTTATAATATGATAATAAGCATGCCAAGAATTGTATCAAGACAGGTACATAGTAGGAATAATATTTCCACACAATCAGTTTGAGGAGTATTACAAAATTATTATTTTTATAACCAATTATGAATACTTTTTTTTAACTCAAATTAAAGAACGTTTATTGAACCATAAACTATTGGTCAATAACTTTCAGATTTTGTTATCCTCTAATCCATCTGTAAGCATCTCGGACGAGATTAGAAATAAAATTATCTATTTATATAATTTTTATTTGCAAGATATGGTAGGGAGTGAATTAGAAGTAATAAGTGAATTTAAATATTGGTTTGCAAATTTAAAAAGAATGGATAAAAAGCCTGATAACGCATTAAATGCACTTAATATTTGTAAACACACACTAATAGACTTTCCGAGCATTACAAAATTAAATTTTAGCATAGCATGCCTCCCAATTACGACATGTACGAATGAAAGAGAACTTTCTCAAAAGGCTAAAAACATATTTACGAAATACTACCTCGCAAAATAGATTAAATGGTTTAACGCTATTAAATATTCACGAATTGTCAAATTTTAAAAGAAAATTAGATATAACATTATAAATTATTACCATGTTTTTGTATGATCTATCTTATATTACACATAAACTAGTAAAAATATATTTCCTATTTCTTCCAGGCGTATTATTTGTTAAAAAAACTTCAAAAATATTTTTTAAATATATAGACTTAAAAAACCCGGTCGAAGGTTCTCCCAATAGGGGGTCTGGGGACATAGCCTCCATTTTTTATTTACCCCTCCCCCCCACCACTCTTAGGAAAATCCTGACTTCAAGATATGAGAGGCGAATGCCTTGCAGAAAAAATTTAAAATTGATGTCAATTCTATGCGTGGACAAGTATACGATGGTGCCCCAGCTATGAGTGGCCATTTAAATGGGGTTAAATCACATATAATGAAAAAATACCTTACTACAATTTATGTTCACTGTACGTCGCATCCCTAAACCTATTTCTGAGTGTTGCTCAATTTCCGTTATTCGTAGTACCATGGGTTTATTAAACTTTTATTTTAATTATAATCATATATTTAAAAAGGCACAATTGGCAAAGTGTATATGTTCAGGTCTCCAAAGAGATCCAATGTCCTCAAGAATTGTCTGACAAAGGAAGAATTTAGGAATAGTCATCATAAACTTGTTAAAATGTGCCCAACACGATGGATCCCACGTCATGAATAGTTGCAGTTTTCCTTGAATTAATGGACCCGATAATTGTTGTATTAAAGGAAATGCATGAATGGACCGATACGTCAGTGGTGGCGAAAACTAATGGAATATTGAAAGTAATTCAAGATCCTGAGTTTTTATTGGCTGTACATTGTAATAACACTTTCTTCTGTCACATAATATTACTATGCAGAGCCTTGCAAAGAGTGAACCAAGATATGGTTCAAGCATTGATCTTCGCAGAAGATGCATGTGATGCTATTTTACAGATAAGAAAAAATCCCCCACCCCATTAGGAAAATCCTGGTTAGGCCTATGATCTAAAATTATCGTTTATAATAATTTATAACATAATATTTCCATTAATTTTTTAAATGAATAACGAATGCTCAAGAACAATGACATGTAAATATGTTAAATGAGTTATGTTCAATCTCTAAATAGTTTTATTTATTTTTATTTTGTTAAGAGGAAGCTATATTCCCTGGATATTCTATGTTTAGAAATAAACAAAACCAGGGCATAGCCTAAATAGTTTTTAAGCTAATTAGTCGGCTAAGCTAATAAAATGAACGGGCCAAATTTTTCAGATTGCCACCTATACTCAGCACCACTTATTTTTGTTTAGAAAATCCGTTCGATGTGTTGAGAATTGGTAGCGTATTACATTTTAATACAAAATTTTAATATTTGGAAAATGTTTAAGATTTCCTATAAGATACAGGTTTAAACATAAGCTTTATATACATTAATAAAATTTAAAAAAAAGATTAAAGTAACGAGTCACTTTAATTCCTTATTTTTTTTGGATTTTAAGTTAAAAGTAACACAGTTACTGTTACTTTTGTAACGCTTTTAAGCTATGGCTGAAAAAAAACTGAATTCACAGTTAGCGCGAAATCGCGAGGCGGAGTGAAAATATCTATAAAAATATAGGAATGGGGTCAGGCCAAACAAAAAAATTGGATTTGCAGGGATCAAATTTGTATCAGCAAAATAAGTGGATTCGATTAATCAGATATATGAGACCTACAGAACCGGGCATAAGCCCGGATAGATGGGCATAGCTGTATTTTTCATTTTAGAAGACCGAAATTTTTTTTTTAAAGGCAAGAAAAATTTTTCAAAAAAAATTTAGGCTAGGCCAAAAAAATATTTATTTTTTTTCAAATAAAGGGATATGCATGGTATCTCTGCAGGTCTACACATATCATCTTTAGTTTATAATTCCACTTATCTTATACTCCACAGGTCAACATTTGATATATTTTCCATGGGCTTAGGTCAGGTTTAAAATTATTTTGATATTAAAGTAAGTTGGTATGGTAGAGGTTGAGAAAAGTTTGAAATAAAAAACATGTTTGTTATTATTTTTTGTTTGTATTTTATCATGCTTTAGTAATATGACATGCAATTTAAGATTTTCTTATAATATTTTTTTTGTCTAATGAGCTTCTGGGGTATTCCCGTTAAGCTAAATCATATTGTTAAGAACAGAAATGGATAAATATAAAAATGTTCAAATGATTCTTAAAAGTGTGAAGTAAGAAGTAAAAGACTAATTAAAAGTTAAAAATAAACAATTTTTTTTTTCCAAGTTTTGGCTAATTTTTTTTTTAACTGAAGCCATATTTCATGAGCGAGTAGCTAATGAATAAGGGTTAAGTTAGGTTTCGATTGGTGTAAATTTTTAGATCAATAAAATATTATATTTTCACCCACCAATCAAATAAAATATTAAAAAAATATATAACGGATAATATAATTTATATTTTAATCACCACCAAGTTACTATGGTCAGGGCTTAAATTTTAATCTTTACATGAAACTGGGTGAAGTATGATTACGCCATAATTTGGTCCATTATGGCTTTTGACGGGAATAAAATATATATAATTAATTCATTGATATTTTTTTTACTCCTTTTGAGACCTCTGCCATATTTCGTCGATCCACGAGGGGGTGTAGATTGGAATATTCAACTGTGAAGCAATGATATATTTTTTAGTGCCTACTTTATTTGTGATTAAATGAGTCACGTCAATTGTCAAATCTCTCGATATTTCACCCTTCATTTTTGAAATTTTTCTGAATATTTCTGTCTATCATTGTCAAATAGAGTATTATAATTACATTTATGCATATAAAAATTTTTACTAAACCTTTTGTTCATTATAAATATTCGTACAACAGACTATCATGTTTGACATTGACATTGAATATATCGGAACTTCCCAATTTGGTATAGGTACATCATCCATAATGCATTGGATAATAACAAAGGGTCCATATATTCTAAATATAATATTTTTTAAAAAAATATAGCATTATTGGAATAAATAATAAAGAAATGCCTAAATCATGTCATGCAAAGAGTCGTATAGATAAATGACATAAAAAGTTATTCAGAATGTTGAATTTCTTGCCACCAATTTATGGCCATTTTTTTATACGATAAATTTATTAGTGTCTAAACTCCTTGATTAAAGATGTACATTTAATTCTTTCAGAGAATTCTGGGAATGTAATGTAAATGAATTGGAAAAGATAATTTAATTAATTTATGTAAGACAATGGTACTTATATTTAAAACTTATTAATTTTTTGCTGGATGTTTATATTCAATTTAAGTATCGACACATTTTATTCAGGTGCATAGTATAAATAATGAGAAATGGCAAAATGGGCTTCAAAAATTCTAAAGTTTTAAACTGGACTGTCATTCAGTGTCTTATTAGCCCACATAAACACAATGATGAATATTAAATGGTGTTTTATATAGTAAATATAAAATCTAAAGCATTTTATAAATCTTCTACCAAAAGAAAAACAGTTAGAGGTAAATATTAAAGATTGGTTTTAGGCAAAAGTATGATTATTCTCATTGCAATTGGAGAAGAAGATATCCTTATTTTTGCCACAAATGTTATAAAATTTCATATGAATGACTATTAATCTTAAATAATTTCACTCCAGATGCCTGTGTTCTGTTTTAATACTTGTAAATAATATTAAAATTTAGCTATGAACATGTTGATTCTTCAGATTGATTTTGCAATTTTTGAAGGTTTCATATAAATTATAATTAGCCTAATTTTTATTAACAAAAAATGTGCCATTTTTCAGCCTATATTTTACAGTTAGTATCAATATGCATTTAAACATAATTATTTGTTTGACAAATATATTTGTGAGAAGGCCGGGTATATCTTTATAAAGATTTAGGAATACTTCTTTAAATCACAATAAAAAAATATATATTTCTTACAATTTCCTAATTCATTTTTGCAAAACATTTAGTTAGAGATTACTCTAAATTCTGATAAAGATGTATTTCCTACTTTCTCCTAATTTACTTTGAAAAAACATTTAGCTAAATTATTATATTTAATTGCAATAAAAAATATTTTTTCAGTCTAATGTGATTTTTATAAAATCACAATATAATTAATAATACTCTGTATTTTCTAAGATTAATAATGCATAGATTTACATATTTCACTCATAATTAAAAAATATCTTCCCAAAACATGTCATTTTTTAATCGTAACTTTATTTTATTTACCAAGTCAAAATTTTGGAATTATGGTATTTTCATATGGGCTGCGACCACATTCCCATATTTTGCAGGCCTATATCCCACCTTTGCATGGCCTTTAGCTGGGTTAAACTAGTTATGGTGTTATTCAATTTTGATTTATTTACATAACTTATTTGACAACTAATCCAAAAATGGGTAAACAATATTAATTAAAAATTTGTTTATTAAATTTTCATCATAAAAATAAACAAAAATATATTGTATTATGGACCAGCCATATATAAAGTTTTTAAACTAATCAAAAATGAAAACAATATAACATGAATAATTGCATATTATTTGTCAAATATTAATAAAATATAAAAATTTTAGATGACTTTTAAGTGGCAGGACAATAATTTATCAAGCAAATAAAAAATTTATTAATTCTTCAAAAAATAGGAAGATAGAATTGGTGTTTTTGATTTTAAAATTAGTTTTTGGTAAATTTAGTAGTAATTTTTTCGCATTTCAAAAATGTGCCAGTTGAGTTAAGTTTACTGGATATTAACTTTTTTTAAAAAAATGTGGTAATCTACTAGTCAATGTGGTAGGCCTGCAACCCTGTTAACAAATGTTAGTATACAGTTCTACATAATAATTTATAAAGATTGTTTATTTTATTTTTATAAATATACATTCAGTTATAAATTACAAAAAAATAATTTCTCCATAATTATATAATATGGTTATAGTCTACTAACAAATTAACACCTTGTGTGATATAACAAATATATAATAATATCCATGATGTAGTCAGGTCAGTCAAAGAACAAATATATTAAAATCTTTATTAATACTTTAATAATCAATTCAAATACAATTATAAGTTAATAAAGCATAGTATGGAAATTAACTTGTTAATCTGAGGTTGCTGTGCTTGCAAATATTCAAAACTTGGCCCCTCAAATGGATCACAAACAAAAATTTTAGGATATCCTGATCCTGAATTTTTATCAGTTTCGGTTAAAGTCTTGCATTCATCATGGCTAATCCATAAGGCAGAGTATTTTTTATTAATTAAAGAATTATAAGCAGATATCATGGTATCTGTAACCACTTCCCCTTTTACAAATAAGAAAGTGTTATTATCCGAATAACTAAGCATAATAATTTATATTTACATATGATATTAACAGTTGTTTTTAAATCGTACGAATTTTGCGCGAATCAGATTAGAAAATTTATATCACCCCGCGGAAAACAAGTATGGTAAAGATGTATACCAAATAAATCCTTAGTAATAATCTATCATTATATTATAAATTTGGTAGTGAGGGGGGGGGGGGTAGCAGAGGCTGAAGCCCCTTAAAAAATTTAAAGATTCTCAAAATTTTGAATTTATTTTTTATACCAAATGTAATTTTGATAATGTTTACTAAAAAAAGATAATTTTTGATAATGTTTACTAAAAAAAGATAATTTTGGATAATATTAAAATAGAATTTTGGATAAATCTAGAATAAAAAGTTTTTATACGCCCCCTGAATTTTGTTAATGGTTTTATGTAATGTTTTAATTTGGTTAATTTAATTATTTATTTATCTTTTACATTATGTTCCCAACTCGTTGATTGTTTTGGACATCATCCTCTCTCTAAAGGTAGACATTCCACATGTAGTTAAAGGCACTATTCTCCGTGCTCTACGCTCAGCTCAAATTCCAGCAACCCTTGAACCCTGTGGTCTCTCAACCGAGAATAATATACGGATGGAACTCCATTAGCATGGGAATTATACTTGCATCGACCAATTAGCTCCCTCCTTTAATAACAACTCATTCGTGCGAGCTGAAAACTCTAAAATTAATAAATACACTTCCCTAACCAATTGCAATCTCATATCAATCGTATCTGACACAACCGGTTTTGTTGGCAATCATGCCCTAACCTTCTTCAAATCTCTTGGTAAAAAAATCCGCGCCATCACTGGTGACCCACAGGAAGGCTTCTATCTCAGACAGCGCATATCTATTGATATATGCACATCTAAGTGCATTGCCATCCACGGTTCTCTTTCTTGACCTCCTCCCACCCAACATACAATTTACTATACTAATTTTTTTTTTTTATTATACTATTTTTTATATAGATTTTAATTTACAAATAGTTTACATGATATTTTTAATATATATTTTTAAATTACGTATATATGTTTTACTTTTAACGTTCAATGTATTATTTTAAAATTGTGATATAGTTTTATATAAATATATAATATTCCATAATCACTTTATATATCCTAAATAAATTAATTTATTTTATTTATATTTAATTAATTATTTCAGTCTTTTCATTATTAACTATGAAATAATATATTAATTTATTTTTTTCTACCTCTTCAAATATAAAATTTGTTATATATACATATATAAATATTACATCATGATATTACCAAAGCAAAGGTTATATCACAAACGTTAGTCAAATTGATTTGGTTCAAAAATTAGTAAATGTAAATTATTTAAACGATAAAATAAAAAGTAAGCATTAAAATAATAAATAACAATTCAAATATTATAATTCAGTACATCAATATAATAATGATAAAATTGTAATGAATAAAAAATAATTAGAAAGTTGTAATAAAATAGATTCGCGCTGAGGCGTAGCTAAATTAGAAGAAGAGAGTGAATGAATCTCCCTCCCTGTACTAAAAAATGAAGCGATTAGGCATTTTTAAAAATGTGACATAGATGGCAAGAAAAATGAGTTACACAAAATCGTTTAGTTGTAGACCTTTTGCTTAAAGGTGTGAGAAATAGAAGTATATCCCATGGCTTAATTGGAATCTAAACTAAGAGGAAATAACTAGAAGTGAGTTGATAAGGATCCTGGCTGAGACAAACTATGCCATATTCAGTGGATTTCTCTTTTTTAAATGCTAATTTGGATTTTTATTTTGCTTAGAGGTTAGGGTATATATAAGGAATAATATCCTCATTTAGAAGAACTTGCTATTAAGGGAAATATATCTAGGTTATTTATGTTATATCTAATGTATTTCATCATTCATAATAAAAAATATTATAATAAAACTAAAATATTTTAATTTTATTACTATTAAAGTAAAAGTTAAAAAAATTAGGATTTCAGGAAACAAATAGATAAAATAAATTATTATGCCTAAATAATACTATATTTTCAATATAAATTTTGCTAAAAGTAAATAAATATGAGACCCTTTATTTTGCCTTAATAATAAGCAAGTCTATGGTTATGAATGATAGTATGATAAAAATTTGATTAATTCGACCCGTCAATGTTTTTTTTAAAAACGCATATAACAGTAAATGATAGCTCGAAAATTATTTCACTTAAGAAAAAATATGTTAAAACTTACGGTTTCCTTTTGCGATCTGCGAGTAATAGTATATGAAAATTTTCAAAAATTATCTGTTAGATTCTCTTCTATACCTATTGTGACAAAATATTTAATAGCGCTAAAATTGTACATCGTTGAAATTTATTCTTAAACACAGAGAGTATGTTGAGAATAAAAAATCTAGAGATTGAAAACAAAGAGGAAATATTAAATATAAATTATTTGACAAGGTTAACAAATATACATTCTACTACAACAAGCATAAATCTTGATTCCAATTTAATTGACTTAAATAAGAGAATGCCTTATTATTCTAAAAACGCCATTCACAGTTTATGGGTGATCAAAAAATTTTTAGACAGAAAAGTGGATCAAATTACCGAATCGTTTCAAGTAAATCAAAATAAATCGTTTTGCCAACTGGTATACCTAGGGTGAAAGGATTTTCTCTATGTCTATGGTAACTTGAATTAAGGATTCTCTGTATTTCAGGCAAATTTAAATAATATTATATTTATACAGTGATAACTATAAAATTACAAAATTAAGTTTGAATTTAGCTTTCTTCTCAATAAAGATCTAAAAAATATGCAGATATTTCTGTTGTGTATATTTTATGTTTAATTTAATTTAGCATATCTTTTTTAAAAAAAAATTCAATTAGCAATTTAAAATGTATATTATAAAAATTTTATGTCGGTGCGCCGATTTACTTGGCCTATGTTGACAGCGGTTAAAAGCTGCATGCATCCAGCCGCCCATTAGATTTTAAAACTCGAGCCGGTCGCCGACAGTTTTGTGGCGCACAGGTCTACCTAAGCCTCAAGCAACCATTTGAGTTATCATTTTCCACCATACCATTCATGGTTTATTTAAAAGAATACATACGTTATTCTAAACAGATTTTTCGTTAAAATTTTGTTCAAAACGCTTTGTGTAAATTAATAACTTTATTCAAAACGCTATAACTTTAAAAAAAATATTTTGTGATATTATATACTATAGATTAGTAATTTATTAAAAGTGCATATACATTGAAGTCCGCTTTACTCAAACGCCACGTTTAAATGCCTTTCAATGGGGGACTTCAATTAATGAACGAATCATTGTCTAAGTTAGCATTAATGTTATTGGTTACTCCACATGTTTGATATGTAATTATATTTTTTAAAAATTGGATAGATAAAATAAATATAGATTTCTTTCTTTTAATAGCTATACCAAATATTTCGTTATTTTTTTTAAAGAATATATTATAATTTTTCCTAATTTTCAAAATTATCTTTTTAAAAACTTTCAATTCAATTCTAACCTGGATGATCGCTTTGCGAAATTCTAACATCATAAACTATGTTGGACATTTTATAAATAAAATAATAAAACAGATAAATATCCAATTTTATCGTGAAACATAAATAGATATTTATATAATAAATAAATAACATTTAAAAAAAAAATTTACGGACTATTTACCAACCGATGTGGAAAGAAAGAAAGAAAGAAAGAATAAAACAGATAAATATCCAATTTTATCGTGAAACATAAATAGATATTTATATAATAAATAAATAACATTTTAAAAAAAAATTTACGGACTATTTACCAACCGATGTGAATGACGATAAATCAATCATATCGTTCATACAAAATCAACCTTTTCATCATGAGTACCATTATGATTTTCTGCTCCGTTCTTACTAGAGTTATTTGTTTTTGTGATATCCGTCTCATGCCCTTTATTTTTCGCGTCGTCTACGATATCACAACGAGCATTCTCCACTATATCCTCTACCGTGATGTTACCCAGCGTTTTAAAGGGGTCATTAAAGCCAACCGTAGTTGACCAATGGGAATCGAGCCAAGGCACAACCTGGCTGAGCAAGTGACGCGCGTCTGGAAGAGTGGTCACGTTTGCCGTAAGGTGTCGTAAATTATCCAGAAAAACTTCTAAAGCCGCTTCCTTAAATAGCGCGTACCTTTACAAGCGTTATATTTAGAATAAGAGATAATGTTTAAAAAATGTTGAGCGATTACTCGTTTTAAAATTATTTGTTTACTTTATACCATTTGTGCATTTGACCAGTCAAATATGCTTCGGTCAATTGTCCGACATTTGACCGATCAAATTCGTATAAACGTTTTATATAAAGTATTAACCTTACTTTATATTATATATAAATAGTAAAAAAAAAACCATAATATTAAATTCTATTTTATAAAATTCTATGATTAATGTTCGGCTCTCCGAGGCAGTCTTGTTCTGATCTATATTCAATATGATCATTTCCTTCAATATTTTGAATCAATCTTATGTTACGATATACTCTTACCAGTTTTCTGGTGGTCGAATTCTTCAATCGATTTCTCTTTTTCGTATGAATATTGACCCAAACCGACTAATTTCTTTGGGAGTAAGATATTAGAAACCTCTCTTAAGAGTTCAAAGTGGGCGAAGAGGCCGAAATCTGATTGTTTTTTTTTATATAAAATTTAATGCTTATCACATATACCTACATTTATGATATCACTTAAGATAATTTTATTATCATGACCTCATGCATGCTTCATCAAACTCGCTAATAGTAGGATGCTCCCCTTATATTGGCGATTCAATAAATAATCCGCTATGTGAACACATGTATTTTGATTGTTTTTTTTCTTTTTCAAGCGTAACTTTAGATGTTATTTTTCTAAAGGTAGAGTAATTCTAAAATCATGGCATGATTGAATTATGTGTTTCCCAAAGTAAGCACCTCGTTTTTAGGTTCTTCATCCCCTTGCACTTACAACAATAAGATAGCTAAAATGTTAAAGAATAGTTTAAAATTTTAAATTTTTCGTCCAAAATATTTCTTCGTGTAATATATTATTGGTAATTCCTTTACAAATATCCAACTTCTTCAACAGCTGCTTTCAGAGATTTCTTTCGTTTTGTATTTGCTCCTTATATTTTATTGACGATGATGTCCATCTTGTTTGAATAATTGTACATAATGTAATATAAATTTATAAAAATTTTTTTATGTTAAAATAACCTTTTTATTTATTTAAAAAAATGATAAAACACTAAAATATTAAAACAAGTTGTCATAACTTTTTATATAGTTTTATATATTTATGTAATGTCAATCATTTGTTACTGACATTGTTTTCATCGTTTTTGAAAATGATTTTTTTTTTATTGATTATTAAATTTTTATGATTAGAAAAAGATTAATTATTAATTCTTGCTGGATTTTTTCATATTTTAATAAAGATTATAAAATTTTGAGATTGTTAGATTATTTTGATTGTTGGTAAGTTTTCTTCGTATTTTTGGAAGTACTTCTATTTTTTTCGAAAGTAAGATTTGTGCAATTTTTTGTTAGTGGTGCCGTGACCAGAATTGTGGTGACAACGTCGACCGTAGAGAGGATCATTAGTTAGGGTGTTTTGTTGAGGCGGCGCCAATCTATTTTGGAAATTAGAATACTCTCTTTAGGGAATATTTGAGAATAAGAGTAAACATTATTTAAGCCAAATAATTTATCCAGTTCTAAAAATGTGGGAGTGGCGAATTCGGAGCGAAAATTCCTACACCACGAAGAAAAATGTAATACGATAAAATATCTACACTTTTATGATCATAAGGAGCAGCCATTATACAGATCTTACGCTGTAGCGTTTCTTCCGACATCGTCATTGTTTGACCTGCTATATAAGGTAATACAAAATCTGCTAGATTTTTCTCCGTGCAAACTTGGTATATTCTCATTTCAGGAGTCATCTTGCAGTATAATCTACCCGCTAATTTTAGCTCATAATTTTTTACGATTGCAACGAGTATTTTGAGAGAATCAGAAATATTGTTGTCATCAATTTTATCAATAATTGTTTTTGCACAAAACTCCTCTTAAATTATAAAATTTATGAGTGCATTCCTATTAGGGTATTTGGGTCCTATAGGAAAATAACCGTACATACTATGGTGAGCTTGATGGTCGTACTCGTGAATCCATTCACTCTTAGATGGTATAATAGCTTTGTCAGCGAGGAGGTCAACTAAGTCTATATGATAATCAAAGTCGAGAGTTTTGTCAAAGAATATATGAGTAAAATAGGAAGGCCTCCAATGTTTTTCTTTGTTTCGGACCAACTGTTTGATAGGTATGCACTTTTAATTTCGGGATGTGTTGATGGTTCAGAGTCATGTTTGGCCATTTTCTATTTTTCTAGTAAAATTCTCGAGAAAACACATATTTAAACATATCACGTATTTCTGCTCCCATGTGATCTAGATCAGGTTTAAAAATAGTCCCTTTAGAAATACAACTAGCTACTGCATCATCCATATTGATGATCGGGTGCCCAAAGCACTTCCACATACCCGATAACTCCAAAGACAAAAACGAGCATACATCTGCTTTACTTTTGATTACAAGATATATTAGAGGTTTCCCAATAACCTTATACGGAAATTTCGCCACTCGAGCAATACAAGATCTTCTCTCTCTCAATTTGTCTCTGCTAAAAATATTATACAACCATCCTATATACAGTGCTATTATAGGGAAATATGTTACTTTTACAAATATGGATGACTATGATCTAGAACATCTCAAAAAATGATAAATAGATATTGATTTTCCAAATTTTGACATGGGACCTATGCAGACAGGAAGAATTGATCCCACAAAAATTAAAAAAAATCCTGTATTCCGCAATGATAAACATCTCTCGAATGCTTTATCTCTATCTGATATAAATTATATGATGGCGTACAAAGATAATCCAAGAGCTTTGAAAAAAAAGAACATAGATTATTGTTAACTTATGAAGAAGAAAACAAGATCGTATTTTATAATCCGCATGAATTTATCCCGTTGATGATGAACAATGTTTTGTTGTTTTTAGATACATTTGTCAAAAGTGATAATGAGTTATTTTTACTTTTTAAAATCGTACAAGACTGCGCCTCGCTAAGTGTTAACAACTGGCTTAATTACCGCATATCTTTTGATATTCCGAGCCTACCCAGTAGATTATTAAATGTATAAAACGTTAAATATCAATTAGAACTTTTGTATGATAAAGTAACAAACACATCGATGTTTCATGAAACATTTCACTTGGGCAAATGTAAAGGTTGTTACTTTGGAAACCTCTTAATTTTTGAAATCGTAAATAAGTATTATCTGATTAACCATACTATTTTTACTTGTTTCAAAGACATTATAAGCTCTTGGTTTGACCTATTGGTATACAGTTTTATCAATTCTGACAAATATAAGTCGTAAACCTCTTTAATGTTTTTTGTAAAACTATCGATACAGTCTGTTCCTTAGCTTTGAAACAGCCTCAAACTTACTTTGATGTTTTAAAATCTTGGCCTTCACTTATTATATCGATAATATTGGCATTAACTGAAAATAATTCAACTTTATATAATGAAATTATAGGATATGTCCTTATCGTACAAGAGCCATAAAAAAAGTTTAATAATACCTAATATAATAACTGAGGAGGATATTCATTTGTCTTTGGAGATATCGGGTATGTGGAAGTGCTTTGGGCACCCGATCATCAATATGGAGGATACAGTAGCTAGTTGGTTTTCTAAAGGGACTATTTTTAAACCTGATCTAGATCAAATGGGAGCAGAAATACGTGATATGTTTAAATATGTGTTTACTAGAGAATTTTACTAGAAAAACAGAAAATGGCCAAACATGACTCTGAACCATCAACACATCCCGAAATTAAAAGTGCATACCTATCAAACAGTTGGTCCGAAACAAAGAAAAACTATTGGAGGTCTTTCTATTTTACGCATATATTCTTTGACAAAACTCTCGACTTTGATTATCATATAGATATAGCTGATCTCCTCGCTGACAAAGCTATTATACCATCTAAGAGTGAATGGATTCACGAATATGACCATCAAGCTCATCGTAGTATGCACGGTTATTTTCCTATAGGACCCAAATACCCTAATAGGAGTGCACTCATAAATTTTATAATTTAAGAGGAGTTTTGTGCAAAAACAATTATTGATAAAATTGATGACAACAATATTTCAGATTCTCTCAAAATACTCGTTGCAATCGTAAAAAATAATGAGCTAAAATTAGCGGGTAGATTATACTGCAAGATGACTCCTGAAATGAGAACATACCAAGTTTGCACGGAGAAAAATCTAGCAGATTTTGTATTACCTTATATAGCAGGTCAAACAATGACGATGACGGAAGAAAAGCTCCAGCGTACGATCTGTATAATGGCTGCTCCTTATGATCATAACAGTGTAGATAGACATTTTATCGTATTGCATTTTTCTTCGTGGTGCACGAATTTTCGCTCCGAATTCGCCACTCCCACATTTTTAGAACTGGATAAATTATTTGGCTTAAATAATGTTTACTCTTATTCTCAAATATTCCCTAAAGAGAGTATTCTAATTTTCCAAGATAGATGGGCGCAGCCTCAACAAAACATCCTAACTGATCCTCTTGACGGTCGACGTTGTCATCACAATCCTGGTCACGGCACCACTAACAAAAAATTGCGCAAATCTTGCTTTCAAAAAAAAATAATAGAAGTACATCCAAAAATACGAAGAAAACTTACCAACAATCAAAAGAATCTAACAATCTCAAAATTTTATAATCTTTATTATGATTATTAATTCTTTCAGGATTTTTTTTATATTTTAATAAAGATTCATAAAAATTTCCAAGTTTTAAAATAAAATTAATTAATTTGTAATTCACCTAATTTAATTCTATTAAATAATTAATATTTGTATATATATTTATATACATATAAAAAAAACATTTTAAAAAAATAAATAAATATAGTATTGGAGGATATGTTTGTGACGGTATTAAAAAAAAAATAAAAAAAAATATATTGAGGTTAGGAAGGATAATCTTGTGGGGAGAGACTGCTTATGAAGCTAATATAATTATCCTTGTGTATTGCGATGGAGAGCCTTTGCCTTCGCGGGGTTCACCGGTTAGTTGACGAATGTGGGAGCCGAGTTCCTTGAAAAAGGATAAGGCATATTTCCCAAAAGTAGTAAGGGTAGTGGAAATAATGGGGATATATTCTTGAGAGATTTCGGAATATTTCGCTATTTTGAGTGTCTCCTTTTTCTCGAGTATATTGACTGTTTGATTTGATGGAGCGAGTGGATCAATACAAGAATAGTCCCAGACCAGGAATTGACAGCGCTTCCAAGGAATTTGCGAAATACCATCAGGCCGTTTCCCATCAGATCTGAAAAGACCGGATGGTTCAAGAGTGGAGGGGATTTGAGCAGATCTAAGAGCTCTAAGAATGATCGAATTGCATAGATTATGTCTTACAATTCGACCTTTACATGAGCGACAATGAAGACTATGTCTTCCATTGCCCAAAACTGCAGAGCCGCAACCTGAACATATGTGGGGTTGGGTAATAAGGCAATTTAAACGGATACCGATTGCATGTGTGAGCTCGTTTTTATTTAGTTGTAATTGCAGATTAATAGACGGAATGGCCTCGAGAAATTCATGGCCTGAACCATTAAGCAAAGAAGAGAATAAGGGACGGTCAGATAATTGCATTCTGGAAAGGAGTTATTCAACGCAGAGTGCAATAATAGGCCTATCCCAGTCCTTCTGCTTATTAGATTCAGGAAGAGGGTGATCTGCAGAAATTCGTGTCCTCCATTCGATGATTGCATCATTAAAAAAAAGAGTCGGGTTTTAAAGAATTGGGATTTATTATGTTTTTAGTTAGTAGGCAACTGGATATAAAGGCCGTTAAGGCGAGATCGGATGGAGATCTGAGGCCCAGACCTCCCATCTTAGTGGGTAAAGAAGCTTGTGTCCAAGCAATTTCATCGAATTTAAGATTTAGAATGTTTTCATTTTGATCCCATTATCATAAACTCCAAGTGGAATGGGGAATTTAAATATGGCAGTTGAGCGAAGTGCGTAAAGAATACGGGGAATATTGAAAAAATTTTTCACCAGGAAAAAGGCTTTATGAGAAGGAAGAAGGGAAAATAAATCTGCCAGCTCTAATAAAGTATCCAAAGTGGACTGAAGAAAGAAAGAAATAGCAAAGTTACCACCAACAGCGGCTCCCAGATGATAGAGACCGTCAAGAGTCGTTAGTTTGAATTTGTTAGTATTAGGTTCGATTGTATTGATAGGGATAAATTCTGATTTCTCTGGATTAACGGAGAGTCCTATAGCTGATCCGGCCTCCTTGATGATGTTCACAGCTTTATTGACTTCAACATTGGAACCTCCAAGGATACCATCATCAATTTACCAGGAATGCAAGGATAATGAGCAGACCGAATTAATGGATTTAATGTCATTAATACCTAAACAAAAGAATAGGGAACCTAGGGGGTCTTCCTGCTGAATGCCCTCGACGGAAGGGATTTTAAAGGTATCAAACAGAAGAGTGGAGGGCTGTTGATAAAATAAAAAAACTTAGTGTAACTGGGAAAAAGATTACTTGAGGAACTCAAAAAGGAGTTCCGGGAGAGTGTGTTGTAAGCATTAGAGAAGTCAATTTTTACCAAGGATTCATTAGAAGGTAAATTTTCAAGATATAATCTGGACAAATGTACAACAGCTTCACAGCCACCAGGGATTCCTACACCAAGTTGGAAGGGACTTAGGAGACGTGAAACATCATGCATAATTAGAGATGATATCATCTTGGCAACTAATCGGAGAAAGGTAGAACCAATGGCAATGGGTCTGATATCATTATTAGGTTTTTGAAGTGCAATTAGCATGGCACCAAATAGGATAGGTGAAACGAAATTTGGAACCTCACCGTTTAAAATTTTGTTGCAGAAGTTTGTTAATTTGGGGAGAACGGATGTTTGTGAGCATGTAGAGGGGGAAGTGATGTCCTGGAGAAAAATGGGGCGTAGGCCATCGAGCCCATGAGCGGAATCGCGATGAAAGGAGAGTAAATTAATTAATTTTATTTTAAAACTTGGAAATTTTTATGAATGTAAAAATGATGGAAAATGAAAAGAGTTTATATTTTTAATAAAGATTATAAAATTTTGAGATTGTTAGATTCTTTTGATTGTTGGTAAGTTTTCTTCGTATTTTTGGAAGTACTTCTATTTTTTTTTTTGAAAGTAAGATTTGTGCAATTTTTTGTTATAAGTTATATAAAAATATATAAAATTATTAAATAAAAATAAATATATATATATTTTAAGTATCGTAGTTTCTAAAAAGAGCCAATTTAATAATGAATATGTGCCTAAAAAGCAAGTATAACTGTGTTTAAAATTTGTAGTTGAAGTTTTTGTTTAAGAAATATGGATTGACGATTTTCGTTTATTATGTTAAAAATTTTTCGCGAAAAATATTTTTTTAAAAAAATATGTAGACTGAGAAAAATTGCCGTTAGTTGGTATGACTATTGGCTGATATAAAGTTATTTAATTTGGAATTTTTATTAATCTTTATATTTTCCCCGTAAGTAAGAGAGTTTGAATTAATTGATAAAGGAAAAGGGGATACGGTTGTTCCTGTAATGAGAGGTTGGTTCGAGGATGTTGGGTATTTTTAGGCTTATTAAAAGCGTTATGGATGATTTTATTAATTGCTTTATGCCGGAGATAGCGACCTTGGCTGCGGGTGCAGTTTAGGCCGTGTTGGGCGTTAGGTTGAACGGGTAAGTTGCATTGGTGGCAAGTGTGGATGTGTAAGCGAGTATCCAAGTCTAAATCCTATAGTAACTCTCAGTTGGTCATTGGTTAAGAGATTATCTAAAGTTCGGCTTGCAAGTGCTTAGAGCCAATCGTGCCCGCCATATTTATCGTTGAATTGTATAAGTTGTATACAGTTAATATCGGTAGGGTTAAGACTATTTTGTAATTTCTTTATTAGGGGTTCGATGATAGACTTGTTAGAAATTTCGGTTGGAAATGTATAACCGTCTGAGGTAAGTGGATTCAATCTTTCGATTGCTGCTGTTAGAAGATCATCTTTGGGAGTTATGAATGATGAGATGGCAGAATTGAGCGATAGACGATTTAAGGATAAAAAAAAGATAATTGGCAATAGTAGTTTTCTCAAACCATGCTTTAGCAAAATTATTATATTCATTTATATATTGTGATCCAATCAAATTTAATAATGAGAAAAATTCTTTTATTGTTATATTTTAAAAATAAAATTCTAATATCTTAAATTGAAAATTTTATATTTTTAATATAATCATAATTAAATCGATGCCTTGATGATACAAATATATTTTTAAATAAATTATAACCTAATTAGATGTTAAACATGATTTAAATATATATTAGTTTATAAAATCAATATATATATATTCACCAATAATATTTAAGACGGTCAGTTGACCGATTTCCAATTTAAACTATGACATTTATACTAACTTACCTTTCATGCGCGAATTTGCGGAGAATTAAATATTCTGTATTTTCGTATTTTACGTGACGAATTCGCGCTAACCGTGAATGCAGGGTTAGACTGACGATTCTTCTATTAAAAGTGTACCGGAAGTCAGCTGTAGTCAATGTCGTTGGCTGTAGTATGCGCGACTGACTTTAATGTATGGTACAAAAAAATCATCAGTCTAGGTTAGTATTAATGACATGGAATTTAATGATGAAACTGGAAACTAGAACCCTGAGAATTGCGCCAAATTAACCAGAACCGACCATAATCCGCGTTCGAAAATTTTAGGGAACAGAAAGTGGAATCACTGAAAAAAAATTTTTTTTAATAAATGAACGATTAACCGATTAGGTGTGTAAAGCAATCTAAGTTCACCCATAAAAGCAGCTAGGTCTCGGAGAAAGAGGCACGTGATACGAGACAGTGAGGGGATTGTTAGGTCAAGACCGTCGTCGAAACCGGCTAAATCCGCGATAAATTCTTTGGAGGTTTTAATATCGGGGGCTTAAATTAAAGAATTTAAAAATGAACAAATTATTTGGGATAAAAAAAAATATGAAATAAATATTTATCAAATTTTAACACAATTTTGACCATCATTCTACGTCAGTGGAAACCATTATTTAGTTTCGGAAGATATGATCAATAGACCAAAATCGTCATAGGTTACATGGTATATTTATTGTTTGTATAATCGATAATAATAAACCACGCATAGTTAGCGACGAACCAGCGGCGGAGGCATTACGGCAGCCGCAAATTCGCGCCAACTGTGGATCCACAGGGTATCACGTAATATCAATTTGATTTTACTTATTTTTTACTATTTGTTTTCAATATTATTACAGCCAACTTCAATATTAAAACCCACAAAAATGTTATATACAAGCTTCGAGATTTCGTTAAACAGTCCCAAATGGGTTTATCCGTGTTTTAAAAAATCGAGTCGTTTTAACAACACTAATTATTATAAATAATATTACACGAGTTAAAACAAAAAAAATATATTATTATTATTTATTATAATATTTTTTTTAAGATCGTATTATTTTACAAAGCAAATTTGTCCTTTTTCTACCCTCATATATTTAACATACAAACTGATTATGATCCTAGTGTTGTTATTACGGCGTCGTTTCGCGCCGATTTTTAATGAACGGCTAACTCAAAAATTTCACCCAGAATAATATCACGCAAGCCTGAAGATTTTGTTTGTAGAAGGGACGAAGGTTTGGACATCTATCAGCGGAATCTCGAGGCCAAAGCAATATTTCTGGCTAAAATAGTGAGTCAGCCGTTATTTTTAAGGCTCGAAATGAAGCCTTTAAAACAACACTAAATTATTTATCTATAAAATTGAGATTTTATAGCAATAAATAATCAGCTGCTTTTTTATTACTATTTTCGAGCGGGGCAAAGCGTTCCTCGAAAACTCGCGCTCTGCTAGATTCGCGCATTTTTTCCAAACGCTTATCCAGGGCTCGACTGACCGCGGTATCGGTCAGCGTGTCAAAGGCGTACACTAGGTCGAGGCCCAAAGCTTCTTCGGCCGAAAGCGTAACACACTGAGAGCGAACAGCTGAGAGTGCTCGAGCGATTAGGCCCAAATCCCTGGGATCCAAGAGTGATAGGAGGAAGGTGATAAATCTTAATACAGGGATATCCAAATGAAATAATTGATTGAGCATACATTCGTTTAGAAGGATGATTATTCACCTTTAATAAAAATATGCATTTTCATTGTTTTTAATCATAATTAAGGGTTGTCAAACCTGGGCATATTTCCTGGAATTTTCGGAAAAACCTATAGGAATTAGTGATCTGCATCGGGCCTAATTTTTCAAATCAGACCCGGCCCGAAATTTTTTTTAAAATTTGCGGGCCCGATAATATTTAAAAATAGTAATTAATTTTGATAATTACTCAATCAAATAAAAGATATGTTATATGGCATCTAGTTTCTATAAATAAAATTGTTATATTATGTTCATGTGGTGTGGGTTATGTTTTTTTTTTAAAATAAAACCAAATAATATCGAAAGAAAAAAGATATAATCATTGTAATTTATTTTTCGATTTGAAATTATTATATATATTTTTGAATTGTAAAAAGATTTCGAAAATTATGATAATTATTATTTTTATACATAAAAACTTTGAAAAATATATTTTGATTATGAAAAAATATTGTAGTTTAAAAGTTTTAAATAGCAACTATTGCCAGATCGCAACGAAAATAAAATATTTTTATTTTACATTGATAAATTTAGATATATTTAAAAAAAATTCCAAGGCCCGCCCCAGCCCGAAGCCCATTGAGACCGGGCCGGGTTTGGGCTTACTTTTGCAGATCTCTATTAGGATTAGGAATATTCAAAAAATTATACCCTTTAATGAATAGCTCAGATACCCTCAATCAAATTCTCAAGTTCATGCTTAATCGTTTTTGTTTCCTAATCCTAATATATTTTATTTGACAATACAAATTTTTCCTAAAAATTGATTTTATACTTAGGTATGATTTAATTACACTAAATAGATTAAACAGTTTACCTTATAAAAACTCATGAATAGCTTGGATACATTCAATTCATTAGTATGGGATCTCAATAACAAAGTTTTTTTCTTCTTTTTTTAAGTTTAGATGGTAGTTTGATTAATTATTGGAAATTTAGGCGAACATAGAATCAAAGATGATTTTTAAAGCTCTGGAATTTGGGATGGAGTGAGATATCTTAATCCACTAACATGGCAGAAAGGGCTCTATATAACTCAATCATTATCTCAACGAATTTTGCCAATACTGCTTCATCAGAACTTATTTGGTCATTTTTTGGAAGCATATATTTTAAATTAAGAAATAAAATAGGAAATGAAAAGGTAGAAATGTTGATATCAATTCAGCATAACTTATACATAATAAATCAGTAATTGTCTTTAAGAGACTCAATATAAAATCAATAGATTAATATAATATCAGATTTAGATTATAATGGGTTAAAAAAAAATTGATGATAGTATGAGTGAAATAAAGTTTTGATAATGTATTTTACTAAATATTTAATGTATATTGTTATAATATTTATTATTTGCATTATAGCTTAACTGTTGTTACTTGAATATAATAAAATATAGTGTTAATATTGAAAATTGTTGGCAACAATTTAAGCTAGAATACTAATTTTCATAAATTTCCATTTATTACCAAAATTTCCATGTGAAAGTTATCACAATGAAAATTCCCAGAAATTTTACAACCCTAATTATGAATTAAAAGTAAGGTCTTTAATATAAACAAATTATTGGTTTAGTTTTTAAATTTTGAAAAATGATTGGTAATAAAAATAACAAAATACCTCCTGAGTTCTGTACTAGTTAGCCAGGCATGTAAAATAGCCTTAGCAGCCCCTTGGTCTGGAAAAATTTGTTGTGAGTAAGTCACAAAGGCCACTGTTTCTGCTAAGCGCCCCCAAAATATTTCCCCTATTTTTTCAGCTCTTAAGGCTGGGTCTGCCCCAAGGGTCAATCTTGCAGAAAATGCAGAAGTGGAAATGGAGGCAGTCATTAGGAAGAGTCGCAGAGCCCGATCACTTTCACCTAGGGCTGCCAATGAGCGAAGCACCTCATGATTAACATAATGATTGACTTGAGGATTGGCATCTTCAATGGAGAGGAGTCTTGGTGGAGATTTGGTGTCTAAAGAACTAGGTGGCGAAGAGGAAAGTGGAAGGGGTTTGTAAGTTCCACCCATCTCTTGCGATAACAACTCTACCAGAGATTCACGGAGTTCCTGACATTTTTGTTCAACCTCTTGCAAGGTTATTGATGAGGAGGGATCCCAGGATTTGTTCTTTAGGTGTTTCTGTATTTTTTTGAGAAGGGTAACAGCTTTTTCAAACTGCCGTTGGGCAATAAACATTTCCATCTCATCTTCATAGTCATCTAGGATAGATTCCTCTAAGGTGAAATCTTCATTTAGAGTGTTTTTGGTTTCAATTTTCTGTTTTGATATCATAGTAGATTTGGTATCATCGGATTTATTATTGGATAATTTAGGTGTAATCTTAGGTTGTTCATCATAATTTGGTAGCTTTGTTCCTTTCATGTAATGTTTTTTAGCATTGTCTACAGCATTTAACCATTCACTTTTAGATCTTTCATCATTTGCTTTTAGAATAAGGGTGTCAGGGTACATTAATAACTTTATTAGGCAGGTGAACTTTGCATCATTCACTGAATTATCTCTTTCAATAAAACTATTATCCTTTATATTAATCAATGCTAAAGTATTCAATGGATATAGATATAAAAATTTAAATCTATAAGAAGACTGGTCAATATGTTTGTGGTCATTAACTATAAAATTTTTATAATTTCTTGCTTCTTGTTTTTTAGTTTCTTTATTTGTTTGATGTGCATTGGATAAAGTATCGTCAATATCAAATGAGTTTTCAAAAGTGTTTTGATAAGCACAAATAATAAAGCTATCTTCTAATAAAAAACATTTGCACTTGTGAATTGGTACATATTGGCCAACTTGCATTTCTTCAAGTTGAATCATGTCTCCTTGATATAATACTAAATTGTCTTTAAATTTTTGCAAAAGGTGATTGTCTTCAATTTCATCCAAAGAATTAGAAAATAATTTCTTATAAACTTTTTCATTTTCTTTATCTGTTTTTAAAGGTAAAAATTTTAAGCCAGATATAGTTATAGATTCTAAATTGTTTAATATAGTTTTCTGCTGACTAATTTTTTGATGTAAATGGTACATTTCACTTTCTAAAAAAGATATATCTCTGGCAGTATCAATGAAAATAGAATTATTTTTATAAACATTTTTTTTGAGCAACTGTGCTGTTTCATCATATAAATTTTGAACTCTGCCCTTGGCATCATATAGATCATTTTGATCTCCAGTTTGATATATTTCTTTAACATAATTTTTAGCATCAAATTCTGGATTTGAGAGCAACCTTATTAGCCGAGGTTGAAGGCTTAAATTTATATCGCCCTTCTTATTTATATTGGTCATGACAAATTTAAAAATCTACCATATGATCTTTGGAAATCTACAAATAAATTTTTTAATATAGATAATTGATAACCATTCTATATTGCATATGTCACATGATATTTGGCAGGTAAAGTGGAAGGTGATGTTGTCTAATAATGACCTATTAGACTTATTCAGTATCTTTATATTATTTTTAATCTTTATATTTCTTTTCCTTCTCAATTTTTTTTTATCTTCTCATTTTTGATCATTCTTTTTTGTTTTTTAAAAACAAATTTATTTATTTATAATTTTCATTTAATTTTTATTTCTCATTGGCAGACATTATTTTTATTAGAATTTTTTGCATATCAAATTATTTAATTATAATTACTATGTATAATATAGTAAGAAACAATAATTTATATTAATCATAAATAATTTCCACACATTTTGAAAATAAATCTCCAAATTTTTATAATTCTTTGCGTTATTTTCAGATATTCTTCTCTTTATAGGCTTTATAAAGCGAATTAATTCCTTTGGTATTGGGATTTTGATTTCTGACAAAATATTTCCTTAAAAAAAACATTTTCAATGGGATTATGATAAGGACTGTAAGCCGTTAAATATTTTATTGTATGCCTCTTTATTCTATCGATTCCCAAATTGCATGATTATATTGAAATGGAACATTATCCATCACAAAAATCATATTCATCACGTTACCTTATTAAAAATTATTTAGTATTGGTTTGCAAAGATGGTTAAGTGTATAACGTTGCAGACGGTATCAAGTACCATATAAATATTCCCATAATTATGAGAGCAGTAATAGTATAATATAATGTATAATATATTGTCTTACCTTGAACATTTTTAATATCCTTTTTTTTTGTTGTAAATATCCATATAACCAGTGGCGTAGCCAGGATTTTATCATGGGGTGGGGGGGGGGGGGGGTTTAAAAATTTGGGGGACTTCGCCCCCCCCCCATACCTTCCATTTTTTTGAACACTTATTTGCTTATATTTTTCGATTTGTTAAAATTGTTTTATATTTTCATATAACAAAATTTTAGAGTATTTTATTATATATTTTACATTCCTTTATTTAATCATGTATATATTTTTATTAATTAAAATATTTTCAAATTGTTGATATTTTATATAATACAGATTTTAATATTAAAAATGATAATGTATTATATAAAGACTCTATTTAAAAAAAAGTAATTTTTTACAATTATATAAAATATGTGTAATTCTTATGCAAATAATGGTATTTATAAAAATATGATGATATTATCTTATAAATAAAACTTTTTTTTACAAAAATTGATTATATATTAAAACTAATAAAATCTATTTTTTGATTTGAATTTAAAAAGAGAGATCTACTTTTCTCTGAGATTTTGCTAATACATCTAGATCAAATTTTTATCTAAAATAATCTCCTTATAAATATTCTATAGAGCTAATCCATTTAAACGTTTTTCACCGGTTGTGCTAGGTTTTTAACCTTTTTAAAGTTGAAATAGACCTTTCATTAGTGCGGGTACTAATTGGCAAGGTAGCTAAAATAATTAATAATGTTTTGATATTAGGCAGGGAATCTAAAATGCAATTACACATGGAAAGGGCCTGCAGAGCATTTTTTGGTCTCAAAGAATTCCCTATTCTGTCAAGATTTTTATACCAAAATTCGACATCACAAAGTAACTTATCATATGAACCTACTAAATCATCAGCATAAAACTCTGAGATTTTTTTAATATCCTCTCGTGTTTCAAGTGTAATCAACAGTTTAGACTCAACGGGCAAAAGAAAATAAAAGCTTTTTAAAATATAATTATGAGTAATAAATCTTTCTTTTAATTGAAATAAAAATGTATCAATAAGGGGAATAAAAATGTTTATTTTATAAAAATCCTCAATCGTAGATGCATCAATATTTGATCGATTGGATTGTCTAGAGACTACTCTAGGTTTAAAAATTTCAATTCCGAACATATTAGCAATCTCCTTTACTTTTTCATAGATTTCATGAAATTTTTCATCCACATTCTCTCTGATATTTGTTAATATTTCAACAATATCCTTTGCTCTATTCATAATCTCCCTTAAATCCAAATCAATTTTTTGTAGCATTTTGCTAAAATCATATGTATAATTAAATAAAAAATAAACACATTGAATTGAAATTAAAAACTGTGGCTTAATAATAGCCTGCAAAAGACTTTCGGCATCTGCTGATCTTTTTCCTTGCTTGATATATAAAATTCTAGTGCTGCAAAGACAACATCATATAGTTCAATAAAGAGCTTCACCGACTCTTGTCTTTCGATGAATCTGGTCGGACAAAATCTTTTTTTTTTTTGATTTTTGTCAATTTCATACGTTTGAATAAATAACTCGGGGTGGTGTGAAAAAGCTGCAAACCAAAAATAAATATAAAATACATCAAATGTGTATATCTATTATTATTTATAATAAATTTAAAACATAAAAATCAAGAGTTTATTAAGAATTTATTAAATTAAAATTAAAAAATTTAAAAAAAAAATGTTTTAAAAATAAAATTAAAAAAAATTTTTTTTTTATTTTTCATGGGGAGGGGGGGGGGTTTGAAGCCCCAAACCCCCCCCCCCCATGCCTACGCCACTGCATATAACCGTCTCATTTATATTGATAATCGCTCTCATATTTTTTCTTTTAAATAAGCTAAATTTACAAACCAATTAGCGCATTCTGTCTTTTCTATAATTTAAAGTAGTGATACCCTCTTAAAACTAAAATTAAATCCTGATAGTAACTTTTATACTGTATTTTTTGATATTTCTACATCATATATTTCTTTAATCATATCACATAACCTTAATACAATCTAAATATACAATTTGAATATTTTATTTGTTCTTGATTTACGCGTGTGAAGTAAACCTCCTATAGGTAAAATATATTTTATTCCATTTTTAAGATGAATTCAATGTTTGTCACTGTTTTATGACTTACTTTAAAACATGAATTTTGATACTATCCTTTTTAACGCGATTAGATCATTTTGTTTTAATGTTAATGCTATTTACACTTGTTTTTACCATATCTACATGATTTTAATTTTTAAAACAAAAAAGTAAATTTTTTTAAAAATGTAATCTCAACAAATGGAATAAATGGCAAAAAAGACAAAAATCTTTTATATTACAACATTTACCTCATTTTAAGGTATTCATAAAACAAAGAATATAGTATAAAATAATTACAAAAAAAATTAGTTACATGCTCAAAAGTATTGAATGCTTTTTGCCTAAATATTAAATTTTTAAAATAAAAATTTAAAATAATAATATATTAATATACATATTTTTAGTATTATAGTTATTGAACAAGAATAAATACTATAGAATAAATTGTGTGTGATTGTATTGCATAATTTAGGAGAAATATTGAACAAGAATAAATACTATAGAATAAATTGTGTGTGATTATATTGCATAATTGTTAAGGATGAATATTGAACAAGAATAAATACTAATGAAAGAGAATTATAAGCTTATCTCAAGGCAATTAAAATGAAAATATATATTAATATATATATATTTAATTGCCTTGAGATAAACAAATAAATTTCACTAAACTTTAAATATACAATTGAATTATTTAAGTATTTAAATATACAATGGCGCACATGCAACATGCACCACCTCCAAAAAAAAATATATAAAAAAAAAATTAATGTCTTGAAAACACAACATGGTACAAAAAAATGGGGAAGGAAAGAACTCGTTTGGCATGCGAGAGGTAATTTAGATTTATTTTTAAGAATGAAAATATATGTATAAAGGGGAAATGGCACTATAGTTGTACATGATATTTTTTTATGTAATCACCCTTACAAAAGGTATAGATTCCACTATCGATAGGTACAATTCACACTATAGGTGGCCAATAAACAATAAATATATTTGGAATAAAATTAATATAATGAAGAAAATTATTTAATCAAAAAAAAACAATCATGAAAATATATGAAAAAATTGGAGATGGTGATAAACAAAAATATAAGAAAAGCGTATTATCATAGAAAACAATTATAATTAAAGAAACATTATGATCTAAATGAACATATTGACCTTAGAAAATTTGAATTTCAAATGACATTACTGATCCTCTCAGTGAACGCCATAATTGATTGATGCTCTAATAAAAACGGAGTTGCGTAAAGTTAATTCTCAAAATTTAATTCTTTTAAAATTAAGGTAGTAAATCAAAGTCATGGGCCTTCTTTTAAATTTGGTTATAATCAAAGTCATTGTCATTGAACAATCAATCGATTCCTATTCGAAGCGATAACGGATTATTAAAAGTTAAAAAATTAACCCTATCTCCTATCTCTTTAGTATTAAAATCAAAATTAAATCTAATCAAATCAAATTCTTTGATCCAATCTAGACCACATAAAGGTGGTCCCTCCCATTCCAAAACATAAAAATCTAAATATTTAATCGTATTTAGAAATTTGACCTTACAATTAATAACTTTACCAATGACTGTGATAGGCGACCCTTCATACGAGAATATTTCTTCGAACAACTTTTCAACTCCACATCTTCATCCTTCGCAAGCTTATCAAACTCTTTTATGGGCAAGGATGACACCGGAGATCCAGTATCTATCATCTTATAATTATTAATTTGAAGGTCAATCATAATATCATTAATAAAATAAATTTTATTTCTTGGCCTTAAATTATAAGGTGTTTGTATCATATCCGTTTTTTTGAAATTGTTGTAATTGCTGTTGTTGTTGTTGCTGCGGTTGTAGTTGTTGATGTTGTTGTTGTAGGTCCTACCACTATGCTTGTTTTCATTCCATGTCGTATAGAATTGTGCACCATATCTGTCATCTTTTCTCCATGTATCTTTTTCAATGAAGGACTTTTTATAATTAATCTCCAATGATTGACATTTGACAACAATCTCCTCAATGATAATCAAGTCTGTCGTGTTTTCTTCTATCAATCTTGTTTTTAATCTCTCATTGTGACAATTAATAATGAATTGAACCGCTATCATTTCTGAATTAAGGCCAGATCCGCACGCCTTCAGCCTATCCAGATAT